TGGAGGCCAACTCTAAGTGGAATGATTCAGCAAACACTGGCACAAGGTTCAGCAAAGTGGAGCGTTTTATCTCCTGAACATCTCCAGTGAAAATAGTTTAAATAGAAGTTATAATTTAATTGTGCACTCTAGACAAAAGCAAACAAATCACTTCTGGGTAACCCTCGTATCTCTGCAACAGTGGCCAAGCGTCACTGCATTGGTGGCAAGATGTTCACTACCTCGCCTGGTATACAGGAGGTCGTGGGTTCGATCCTGATCCTAACGCCCGCTGTATATGTTGAGTCATCACGTCTCTCTCCCCGTTGTCGCGTAGATTTATTTCTGGGTCCTCCGTTTTTCTCCTCCACATTTAGAATCAATTTGCATTCAGAGGATTTGGCTGCCACTATAAATATCCACGTGACAAGCCACTCCGTTGAGCTGTAATTTGTGATAACCACGTCACATGTGAAAAAGAGCGACTTCTCTCAGTGAGCCTTGCCTAGTTAAATAAAAAAATGTTTTTAGTTCACATCATCCCACATGCCACAATCCAACACTCCTGAAATATATATGTTAGCCGACATTTGCTATTCAAAACCGCTATAATACGGAAATGAAACAATATTTAGGTGTAAAAATAAACACATCTTCATATCTCATCATATTCATTAGGCAAATAATACCGTACTTATGGTGAACTAATAAAACAAAAACGCTTCTCCTTTCTGAATCAGCCACTGCAGTCATCTCGACCAAGGCGCAGAACCAACTCGGCTCGCGACAAACGCTCAACCTGAAGGCAGCCATTTTGTACGTTTTAACCATTAACACTTAAAAAAACCCATTAAATTCAACAATCTACACAAATAACTGCCTCCATTTATATTTTCGTACCATTCAGAACGTTGTATCCGCATTCGGATCGCTATATGCGCATTAATTTACCTCAAAATTTCCATAATGATGTTGTCAACGATCGTTAATTGTAAATAAAGAAATGAAACAAAATGGAGTCTCCGACGCCATTTTGTATTTACACTTTTGGCGCCAAAAAAGAATGAAGCGGCGAATGAGGCAACGTTGAAGACTTAAAATCATTGGCGGAGTTTGACTTCTATATTTGTCCCTCATTTAATTTATTTTTCCTTTTAAATCATGAAAATAAATGAATAAAGGTGTCCAGTTTTTTTTAGGGGGGGGCGTTTTCCCCCCGTGCCCCCCCTCCTCCCCCCGTGCCAAAATTACAAGAGACAAGCTCTTAAATACAAGTTAAGGGGGAGGTGCTTATCTGAATGTGGTAGCCAATGAATGGAACGTGGGCGGGGCTAAACATACAACTAAATAATACTAAATGTTGATGTATTCGTAACCCTTGTACAAATACAAATAATTGGAAGCTTTCGTGACTGCAGGAATCCATACTCTTTGGTTCTTTCGGTAAGCCACGTACATAGAAATGTGCAGCGATTACATTATCCACTTGAACATACAACTGAATAATACATACTCTTAGGTTTTTTCGTTAAAGTCAGGTAGGTAAAAATAAATAATAAATAATGAAAAATAATAGAAATAAAATAATATAAAATAATAAAAATAAATAATAAGATTAAAGAATTAAAACATTACAGAAATTATAATAGAAATAAAATATGTAATATTATTTCTATTTTAATTTCTATATATTTTATTATTATTTATTCCTATTATTTATTTTTACCAACGTGACTTTACCGAAACAACCTAAGAGTATGAATCCTTGCAGTCACGAACGCTTCAAATCTCGAATGAATACTAAATGTTGATGTATTCGTTACCCTTGTACAAGTAACCAACGAGCAAGTGGCGCGTGTGTGGATGTGACAGTGGCCACTAAACGGCAGCGCACAGACAAAGATCCCCCGCGTAGCCTCCACAGGCGGCGGGGGCAAGTGCTGTTAGCGAGCGCCTATTAAGGCCGGAGAGGTATCCACGGGACAGCACCACGCCCGACCGCCTTTGTCTCCCCGGTGGTGGTGATGTTTACACGCCGCGCCAGGGAATGATTTGAGGCTGAGTCGACCTAGGGGAGGCCCGGTTCAGATAATCGTCGCCGGTGTTGGCCGTGAGCAGGGATCGAACCCGGGCGGCACAGCGAGCTGATCGCTCCACACAGCACACACGGGGGCCTGCGTCTCTCTCTCTCTTACTCACCGCTTGTGTGAAGCCCTCTGTGTGTCCTGTCTGTATACCACTGTGCACGATTCTGTGTGTCTCTGTGTAGTACTGTACACTCTATATATACACTTCTGTGTCTCTGTGTAGTACTGTACACTATATATACACTTCTGTGTGTCTCTGTGTAGTACTGTACACTATATATACACTTCTGTGTGCATCTGTGTAGTACTGTACACTATATATATACACTTCTGTGTCTCTGTGTAGTACTGTACACTATATATACACTTCTGTGTGTCTCTGTGTAGTACTGTACACTATATATACACTTATGTGTGTCTCTGTGTAGTACTGTACACTATATACACTTCTGTGTGTCTCTGTGTAGTACTGTACACTCTATATACACTTGAGTGTCTCTGTGTAGTACTGTACACTATATATACACTTCTGTGTCTCTGTGTAGTACTGTACACTATATATACACTTCTGTGTGTCTCTGTGTAGTACTGTACACTCTATATACACTTGAGTGTCTCTGTGTAGTACTGTACACTATATATACATTCTGTGTCTCTGTGTAGTACTGTACACTATATATACATTCTGTGTCTCTGTGTAGTACTGTACACTATATACACTTCTGTGTGTCTCTGTGTAGTACTGTACACTATATATACACTTCTGTGTCTCTGTGTAGTACTGTACACTCTATATACACTTCTGTGTGTCTCTGTGTAGTACTGTACACTATATACACACTTCTGTGTGTCTGTGTAGTACTGTACACTATATATACACTTCTGTGTGTCTCTGTGTAGTACTGTACACTATATATACACTTCTGTGTGTCTCTGTGTAGTACTGTACACTATATACACTTCTGTGTGTCTCTGTGTAGTACTGTACACTATATATACACTTGTGTGTCTCTGTGTAGTACTGTACACTATTTATACACTTATGTGTGTCTCTTTGTAGTACTGTACACCCTATATACACTTCTGGGTGTCTGTGTAGTACTGTACACTATATACACTTCTGTGTAGTACTGTACACTATATACACTTGTCTGTGTAGTACTGTACATTCTATATACACTTCTGGGTGTCTCTGTGTAGTACTGTACACTATATATACTGACAGCAGTGACTCTTAACCTTTTATGCAATCGTAAAAATGTTGAATAATGTTAATAAATACCTGGGGGTTTGATTAACAAAGGAGTTGTACTTACGTGCCCGTGCTTAATTTGTGTTTCGATGATTTACCTTTTCAACAAGTCTGGCCACGTCTCACAGCCCCCAGAAAGGGCATCTCGCACCCCCAGGGGCTGCGTGCACGCCAGGGTAAGAGCCACTGTCGACAGGGACCGATCTCCGCTCATAAACCACGAGACCCCTGAGGCCTAAGGGTCGCCTCCTTCTAAGGACTCCGAGGTCAAGGCTCTGTTCGTGTGGTGAGCGAGTGGGTGAGTAAGTGGAGGTTAGTGGGTGGGTGAGTGAGTGGGGGTGGTTGAGTGGATAGGTTGGTGAGTGGGTGAGTGGAGGTGGGTGAGTGGGTAGGTGGGGAAGTGGGTGCGTGGTTGAGTGGGTAGGTGGGGAGTAGGTGCGTGTGTGTGTGAGTGTGTGAGTGAGTGAAACAGGATGCGTCGCCGGGTGTGGCCTGCTTGGCACCCGAGGGTTTCTGAGCTGTCACCTAACCGGCTCTCCCGGGACACTGCGAGGATTTGTTGGCTGCAAAATCCGCGGCGGATCGCATCTTCCTGCCTGGCCTGGAGCCACTGCGCCTCACTGAGCACTGAGCCGTCGCTGCTGCTGTACCAAGGAATGAGCGGACTGGGGTGGAGTCCAAGGCATTCGTTATCTGCTGTGAACAACCCGCAGAGCCCAAGAGAGCGTCTCCGGGTTCAAGCAGCGTTTAGAGTTCAGTATTTAGATTATTTGGCTGCTATGCATTTACAATCTGATGATCCACTTTATTGAGCTGTCATTTGTGATGGGCAGGTCGCTTTGAAAAATAAGCTAATAGCTCAGTGGGGCATTACACCTGGTAAATAAAAATAGTTTAGTTTAATTTGTATTTTTTACAATAACGATGAACGCCAATGGGAATTTGTGTTGCTGCGTGTGCATGCGTGTTGAGTAGCCGTGCGTGTGAATGTGAAACAACAACGCAGCTGAAGTAAGCGGTGGGTGCGGCTGTGAATGGCCGGCACGGGGATCTGCAGTCTCGGACAAGGTGAGAGTGAGAGACGGTGATATCGCCAGCAGTGGGTGATGGAGGCAGGTAGAGTTGGTGATAGATTCACACTGCTAGCAAATGGCTCAAGATTCCAGGATGGGTCACGGGAGTCAACAGACAAATTCTATCTCAGATGCTACAATGACATTCAAGCAACTCGTCACGTTGGGGTAATTACACGGAGGTGGAATTACAGGACATCAGGAGATATCTACAACTATGCCAAGATTTTTTTTTTATTTTACCAGGTAATGCTCACTGAGCAATGTTGCTATTTTCTGAAGCGACCTGGCCACAAATGATGGCTTATCACCATAAAATGTATTTGGTCAACTACTCTAAACGCATGATGTTGATTGTAAATGTGGAGGGGAAAACCGGAGGACCCGGAGAAAATTTCACGCGATCACGAAGAGAGAGAGACACAAACTTTAAATATAAAGCAGGTATCAGGGTCGGGATACAATCCCACCATCTCCTGTACACTGGGCGAGGGAGATAACATCTTGCCACCAACTTGCTGTAGTTTATCTCTCGACACTCATCTCAAGAATAAGCCAACGCAGCTGAGCCTCACCTATTTATATTAACAACAGCACTGATTTTTTAAATGTCAACGTGTGTACAGTAGCCGTGTTCACCTTGAGGCTGCTGTTTGCGCATCTCGGGGCGTGGGTTCACATTCCAGGCGGTGTCTCGTGATGTCAGTGACGACAATGAAAGCATTTCAAGTATTTTACTTCCTTCTTCACCGTCGCTATAAGAGAGAGGTCCTGGTCCAGCGTCTCTCTGAGCGACACAGCGAGCGATCCCAGCAAAGCCCATGGGTCATGGCGAGCGCGACTCCCAGTGAGAGTGTGGATAGTGAGTTGCGCTGCTCCATTTGCCTGGAGACGTTCGTCTGCCCCTCCACGCTGAGCTGCGGACACTCGTTCTGCCTGCGGTGCCTGGAGGCCGCCTGGAAAACGGCGAGAAGCTTCAGCTGCCCGCAGTGCCGAGCGGCCTTCCCTGTGCGACCCCAGCTGAGGAGGAACGTGGCCCTCGCCAACCTGGCGGAGCAGCTCAGAGTTGGAGACGGGATGGCCACGGCCGTCGTGTGTGACAACTGCGGTGACGGCCAAACTCCTGCAGTGAAGACCTGCGTGAGATGCGAGATGTCATTCTGTGTGACGCACGCGAGGCCTCATGTAGAGAATCCCAGGCTGAGTGACCACGTCCTGGTGGCTCCCATCGCGAACCTGGAGGAGCGAAAGTGCCGTGAGCACAGTGAGGAGCTGAAATTCTACTGCACAGTAGACAGCAGCCTGGTCTGCTCAACTTGCACAATCGCAGGAGAACACACAGGACACAAGGTCCTGACGCTGAAGAAGGAGCACGAGACACGGAAGGTGAGGCCCTCAGTGAGACACCGCAACACGATCTGACCAATTTTATCACTGGGCTCCACAATAACTGATGAAAAAAAGAAATTATGTGATCATGCTCTATCTAATGAATCTATTTTTCTGCCTGTACAGCTCATCTCCTGCTTGGTGTTTTAGTATACAGCCTCAGGATGTATTTCATGCCAGGCTCTCACTAAACATAATTCCCGTGTAAAGGAATTAAGTGAAAAGAGATGTGAGACCGATATCACAGGCACCTGATAGACAATTCCATTAAATGTATCTTCTAAACTCAACAGCTATGGGCACATGGGCTCTTGAGTCCGAGTCTGTAGGGACACCAAATCAGCACGGCTCCCACCGGCTGCTGCTCCAACGAGGCATCAGCTTGCTCACTCCCCGTTCCCCCCTCTTGGTCGCCGTAGGGAGGCAGCCTGGAGATGAGGGCCTTCGCTGTGGAGGGGTCGGTGTGGAGGGAAGGGCGGTGTGAGGGGTGGCTGAGGGGGCTGGAGTCTCCCCCTGGTGACGTCTCGTCTCTCACTACAGACGCGCGTAGGGGAGGAGACGCGAGCGGTGGAGAAGAAGAGGAAGGAGGCGGAGAAGTCCGTGGAGCGGATGGAGGCCGCTCGCATGGAGGCGCAGGTACCGTGTCCGGGTCTGGCTCTTCGACCCCCGTGACCTCCACCCAGTGTGGAAGTCGTGGAGGTCAAAATTAATTCGAGAGAACTTCGTGCAGCTTCATAACTTTGATGCCTCTTACTATAACTATATCATTCACTTTCAAACTCAACATTAACTACAAGGGGGTTGCACATTTACCGCATTAGATAACCGCATAGGCGAGTCTGCCGCGAGGTCGGGTTACTCGGCTTTGCGTCTTCCACTCCTGTGGCATAAAATAAGTGTAGAGAGTGCCACGGATTGTCGGGGTGGCGCTGTGGTGCAGTTGTTGCGCTGCACGGGAGGTTGCGCACCGGCACGGACGCAGAGGCACAAACACCGCACAGCTGCACCTCATGCCGTCCCTAATTACGTCCCCAGAGTTTATTTAAACTACAACATTTTTATATTACCAGGTAAGGCCCCACTGAGCGATGTAGATTTTTTCAGAAGCTGCCCTGTCTGTTACAAACGATAGCAGCTCAACAAAGTGGCTGACATCATCATCACGTGAAAATATATAGCAGCAGACCCATAGAGATACATAGAGACCCATAGAGATACATAGGGACAAAGAGAGGTACAAAGAGACCCAAATAATTACCTAGAGACCAATAAAGATGCATAGGGATATATAGAGATATATGGAGACCCATAGAGATACATAGAGACACATATATTTACATGGAGACGCATCGACTCAACTATGTTGATTTCACCAGGTACAGCCCTACTGAGCCATGTAGCTCTTTTGCAGAAGGAACCTGAATATCACAAATGATAGCTCAATGAAATGGCTTATCAGGTGGAAATTGATAGCAACAAAATACTCTACATACTGTACTCTAATCGCTGCTTGAATCCTGAGACACTCTTGGGCTCTGCGGGTTGTTCACAGCAGATAACGAATGCCTTGAACTCTAAACCCGAGCCGCACTTATGGGAAAACCCGACCTGGATTACGCCGATTTTAAATGTGGAGGGAAAAGCTGGAGGACTTGGAGAAAAATCCACGTATGCATCAGGGTCATTGTCGATCCTACGACCCCCTGTACACCAGGCGAGGTAGTTAACATCTCACCACATCTCGTCGGACCCACGAGGGGCCCCCACCGGACTCCGAGTCACCGAGTTTCAACATTCACGACCCCAGCGCCCTCTAGGGGAGAAACAAGAAGAGAGCGGCACCCCTCTTGACCCCTTGGCATGGATCCACTCAGTCCAATGGGCGCCTCGTCACTGGGGCATGATTCACTACTAGGGAATATTATTTTATTATTTTACCAGGTAAGGCCCACTGAGCTGTACAGCTCTTTATTGGAAGTGACCTGGCAATCACGAATGATAGATCAACCAAGTGGTTTACATCATAATCATGTAAAAATTTATAGCAGCAAACTATAGAGAGACCCATATCGATACATAGACACCCATATACATACCCGACCCATAGAGATACATAGAAACCCATAGAGACACACATATATACATAGGGATATATAGAGACCCCGAAAGAGCCCTAGATACCCATAGAGACCCATAGAGACCCATAGACTGAACTATTTTTATTTTTTCCAGGTACAGCTCCACTGAGCTGTGTAGTTATTTTCCAGAAGCGACCTGGATATTACAAATGAGAGCTCAGAATAGTGGCTGATTGCAATGTGGAAACTGATAGCAGCCAAATACTCTAAACGCGCAACGTTGATTCCAAATGTGAAGGACCCAGATAAAAATCCATACGACTACAGAGACAACAAACTCCAAATATACAGGCGTCAGGGTCGGGATCAAAACCACGACCAGCTAAAAACCAGGCGAGGGAGTCAATATCTCATAGCCACCACGATGCCCACACACACACACGGAGTGACTCATGGCTCAGGGAGTCAACCGTGGTCCCCTCGTCTCCTCAGGTATCGGTGGCCGGGATCAGGGGTCGCATCACGGGCAAGTTCGCCCGCCTAAGGAAGGCTCTGGACGAGGACGAGAAGGAGGCTCTCCAACGCGTGGCCGTGAAGGAGCGCAAGCTGCTGTCCCGGATAGACGAGGAAATCGCTCGTCACAAGCGGGAAATCGGGGAACTCCAGGGAGTGGCTACTCGCCTGCGTGCACTGCAGCACGAGAGGGATTCGTTCGCCTTCTTGCAGGTGGGGAGCGCCTCTGTGGAGACGCCGTTTGGGTGTTCAGAACAACAGAGCGGGCAGTGGCAGAGGGGCTCGTGGTGCAAGGTTAGAGATGTCACTCATGATCTCTCTTTCTTCCACAGGGTCACGTGGAGGTGACGCGCAGGTACAGATCCTTAATGTCTCACGGCTAAATACTCACAACACAGTAGATGTGTGTCAGACACGGGCTGTGTGTGAGACACTGGCTGTGTGTGAGACACTGGCTGTGTGTGAGACATGGGCTGTGTGTGAGACAAGGGCTGTGTGTGAGACATGGGCTGTGTGTGAGACACGGGCTATGTGTGAGGCACGACTGTGTGTGAGACACGGGCTGTGTGTGAGACACTGGCTGTGTGTCAGACACGGGCTGTGTGTGAGACACTGGCTGTGTGTGAGACACTGGCTGTGTGTGAGACACCTGCTGTGTGTGAAGCACGGGCTGTGTGTGAGACACTGGCTGTGTGTGAGATACGGGCTGTGTGTGAGACACGGGCTGTGTGTGTTACACGGGTTGTGTGTGAGACACGGGCTTTGTGAGACACTGGCTTGGTTTAAGACACGGGCTGTGTGTGCTATGTATTCTGAGTGTTCCAATGCTGTGGTTAAACGAGGCTGTGTGTGATGCTGTTGGTGGTTGTCCCAGGAGAAAGTTCCCAAAGGAATCTGCACCCTCACCTCCCACTTCAATGGACGCCGCCACGATGCTCTCCCTTGAAAGGGTCGTGAACAGATTCCTGCCTTTCGCTTGTGAGTTCCTCAGTCTTGCACCCACGTGTCTCGCTCTGTTGCACTGCACTTCTGTGCTCCCCACCTTCATCAACTTTTCATTTTATTTTATCAGGTAAGGAACCCACTGAACCATGTCGCTCTTTTGTCGCAAGCGACCAGACTATCACAATGACATCTCTACGAAGTGGCTCATCACGTGGATATTTATAGCAGCAGCCAAATCCTCAGAATGTAGATTGATTCTTAACGTCGAGGAGAAAACGCGAGGAACCAGGGGAAAATCCACGCCACCACAGGGAGAGAGACTCAGACTCTGAAAGAAAGCGACATGGATCAGTGGGCTCTACCTGGTGAAGAAAAATTAGTTAAACAATTTAAATATTCTAATGAACCCTACTGCTGGGTATTGGGGCAAGTGCTGTCAGCAGCACCTATGAAGGCCGGCACGGCAGACGAGGGGTGGGAGGCCAGCTCCACGCCCGGCCGCCTTTGTCTCCCTCGTGCGGAACGTTTACACATCACACCAGCAGATGTCAGTGCAGCGTGAACCATTGTTGTACTGCACCTCTACACTTCTACGTTCACGATCCCCACCATCGCCAACGAGCACCGACGAGAGTGGTGAAGTATGGTCAAATAACCCCCCAGGATGCACACGGCACGGGGAGGCGCTCACCCAGCAGCGGAGAGACACACAATGTCTGTGTGTGGATGTGAGAGTGTGCGAGGCTGTGACACACAATGTCTGTGTGTGGATGTGAGAGTGTGCGAGGCTGTGACACAATGTCTGTGTGTGGATGTGAGAGTGTGCGAGGCTGTGACACACGATGTGTGTGCGTGGGTGTGAGAGTGTGCGAGGCTGTGACACACAATGTCTGTGTGTGGATGTGAGAGTGTGCGAGGCTGTGACACAATGTCTGTGTGTGGATGTGAGAGTGTGCGAGGCTGTGACACACGATGTGTGTGCGTGGGTGTGAGAGTGTGCGAGGCTGTGACACACAATGTCTGTGTGTGGATGTGAGAGTGTGCGAGGCTGTGACACAATGTCTGTGTGTGGGTGTGAGTGCGAGGCTGTGACACGCAATGTCTGTGTGTGGGTGTGAGAGTGTGCGAGTCTGTGACACACAATGTCTGTGTGTGGATGTGAGAGTGTGCGAGACTGTGACACACAATGTCTGTGTGTGTGGATGTGAGAGTGTGCGAGGCTGTGACACAATGTCTGTGTGTGGGTGTGAGTGCGAGGCTGTGACACGCAATGTCTGTGTGTGGATGTGAGAGTGTGCGAGGCTGTGACACACAATGTCTGTGTGTGGATGTGAGAGTGTGCGAGGCTGTGACACAATGTCTGTTTGTGGATGTGAGAGTGTGCGAGGCTGTGACACACACTGTATGTATGTGTGGATGTGAGAGTGTACGAGGCTGTGACACACAATGTCTGTGTGTGGATGTGAGAGTGTGCGAGGCTGTGACACACAATGTCTGTGTGTGGATGTGAGAGTGTGCGAGACTGTGACACACAATGTCTGTGTGTGGATGTGAGAGTGCGCGAGACTGTGGTTGAGGCGTCGTGTTTGTAAAGAGACGCTGTGAGAGTGGTGTTCACATCGTGGTGCTGGCATCATCACAGCTGTTCACTGCCACTGCACACACACACATGGCCGTGTTAGTGTAGCACTATTGTTATTAATTCTTATAATTCACTAATTATTATTCACACGTTATTCGCAGTATGTGTACATTTAAACTAACGAATATCAGTTTGTGAACAATAATACTAACTAATATTAGTATGTGTACACTAATACTAACTAATATTAGTATGTTACACTAATACTAACTAATATTAGTATGTGTACACTAATACTAACTAATATTAGTATGTGTACACTAATACTAACTAATATTAGTATGTGTACACAGATACTAACTAATATTAGTATGTGTACACTAATACTAACTAATATTAGTGTGTGTACACTAATACTAACTAATATTAGTATGTGTACACTAATGCTAACTAATATTAGTGTGTGTACACAGATACTAACTAATATTAGTATGTGTACACTAATACTAACGAATATTAGTGTGTGTACACTAATATTAACGAATATTAGTGTGTGTACACTAATACTAACTAATATTAGTATGTGTACACAGATACTAACTAATATTAGTATGTGTACACTAATACTAACTAATATTAGTGTGTGTACACTAATACTAACTAATATTAGTATGTGTACACTAATACTAACGAATATTAGTATGTGTACACTAATACTAACTAATATTAGTATGTGTACACTAATACTAACTAATATTAGTATGTGTACACTAATACTAACGAATATTAGTATGTGTACACTAATACTAACTAATATTAGTATGTGTACACTAATACTAACGAATATTAGTATGTGTACACTAATACTAACTAATACTAGTATGTGTACACTAATACTAATGAATATTAGTATGTGTACACTAATACTAACGAATATTAGTATGTGTACACTAATACTAGCTAATATTAGTGTGTGTACACCAATACTAACGAATTTTTGTATGTGCACACTAATACTAACTAATATTAGTATGTGTACACTAAAACTAACTAATATTAGTATGTGTACACTACACTAACTAATATTAGTGTGTGTACACTAATACTAACTAATATTATTATGTGTACACTAATACTAACTAATATTAGTATGTGTACACTAACACTAACTAATATTAGTATGTGTACACTAACACTAACTAATATTAGTATGTGTACACTAACACTAACTAATATTAGTGTGTGTACACTAATACTTACTAATATTAGTATGTGTACACTAATACTAACAAATATTAATGTGTGTACACTAAAACTAACTAATATTAGTTTGTGTACACTAATACTAACGAATATTAGTTTGTGTACACTAATACTAACTAATATTAGTATGTGTACACTAATACTAACTAATATTAGTATGTGTACACTAACACTAACTAATATTAGTATGTGTACACTAATACTAACTAATATTAGTATGTGTACACTAATACTAACTAATATTAGTATGTGTACACTAACACTAACTAATATTAGTATGTGTACACTAACACTAACTAATATTAGTATGTGTACACTAACACTAACTAATATTAGTGTGTGTACACTAATACTAACTAATATTAGTATGTGTACACTAATACTAACTAATATTAGTATGTGTACACTAGTACTAACGAATATTAGTATGTGTACACCAATACTAACGAATATCAGTATGTGTACACGAAAACTAACTAATATTAGTTTGTGTACACTAATACTAACTAATATTAGTTTGTGTACACTAATACTAACTAATATTAGTATGTGTACACGAAAACTAACTAATATTAGTTTGTGTACACTAATACTAACTAATATTAGTTTGTGTACACTAATACTAACTAATATTAGTATGTGTACACTAATACTAACTAATATTTGTATGTGTACACTAACACTAACTAATATTAGTGTGTGTACACTAATACTAACTAATATTAGTATGTGTACACTAATACTAACTAATATTAGTATGTGTACACTAATACTAACTAATATTAGTGTGTTTACACTTGCTAACTAATATTAGTGTGTGCACACTATTACTAACTAATATTAGTATGTGTACACTAATACGAACAAATATTAGTATGTGTACACTAATACTAACGAATATTAGTATGTGTACCCTAATACTAACGAATATTAGTATGTGTACACTCATACTAACTGATATTAGTATGTGTACACGAAAACTAACTAATATTAGTATGTGTACACTAAAACTAACTAATATTAGTATGTGTGCACTATTACTAACAGATGGATGCTCACCGACTCTGGACACAAACTCAGCCCACCACAACCTCCAGATTTCCTCAGATCTCAGGACGGTGACGGTGAGCGATGTCACCCAGGGTCGCTCTCATCACCCACACCGCTTTGATGTCTATCAACAATCCCTGTGCTCTGAGAGCTTCTCGTCGGGTCAGCACTACTGGGAGGTGGACGTGGGGAGCGCGAGGTGGTGTCGGGTTGGAGTCGCGTACGGGATAATCCCACGGAGAGGGGTTGGTGCTGCGTGCAGCCTTGGTGGGAGTGACGTCTCCTGGTGTCTACAGAAACATCGCGACAGCTTCTCAGTGGTGCATGGCGGGGTAGCGACCTCACTGTCGGTGCCACAGCCTCCGCGGAGAGTCGGTTTCCACCTGGACTGGGACGCGGGGCGGCTGTCGTTTTACAGTGCCGACTCCATGGCGCTGTTGTACTCGTTTAATAAAACCTTCACTCAGCCTCTACACCCTGGGCTGTGGGTGGGGTGGGTGTTGTTCGAGGGTAAAGTTGGTGACTCAGTGAGGATTGTGGATCTGAGTGGCACGCCCTGATGGAGGTGAAGGTGAACAGCGCAGAGGGCAGACGCCACCACGACGCACGGCGCTTGCCACCCTCGTCACCGCCACGCCCGTGACTGGCTGGTGGCTGTCGGTGGCTCGGGGCTGCGTGGCTCTCCATCACAACGGGGGGGGGGGGCTGAGCGTAAACAATCCTCACAATCTTCATTAGGTGGGGGTGATAAATTGAGTACTGCTCTGTGTGTGTGTGAAGCCAACGTGGATGTGTTCACCCTGCCAGAGGAGTGTGACTGTGATGTAGGGGTGCAGTGAGTAGCAATGGTGAATTGGGATGTGTTTATACACTGGTGGTGTCATGGGTTGTGGGAGAGACACAACAACAAAACTATTATATTCTTTACGTTCTTTCGGTAAAGTCACGTAGATTAAAAAAAGAAGAATATGAAAAATTTAATAATAAACATTAAATACAAATTTTAAATGAAAAACCAAAAATTCATGACGTTTGATCGCAACACAAGCGGTCGTCATCAGTCAAGAAAAGTTTTAAGTCAAAACAATAATATTCATTTTTAAAAGTATAAATGTGCGCGTACGACTGTGGCAATGTAACGCTTGTATCATCGATTCTACAATAAAAATACACAACAACAACAATGTAGTTGTGTACAGCGTCATTCGTGCTCACTGCATCCAGCAACGCCGTTCATTAATTAAACACGAGGACCAAATCCTCTACACAGCCACTGCCAAGCAAATAAAATCTACAAATTAATAAACAAATAAAGAGACGGCGCCAAACACAAAAGGCGCCAACAATGTCCGAGCTGTTCAAGTTGTCTGCTGCTGCGTCATTGACGTGGTGACGTCACCACGCACGCTCCCCCAACGTGATGACGTCACCACGCACGCTCCCACAACGCGGTGACGTCACCACGTCTCCCCACCCCCCACGCCCGCCCCTCACCACTGCACCATCTGTGAACACAAAGAGCTTCACAGCTCATCGGATTCCTCCTGCACCACAAACACAGATTCTGACGTTCTGGATTCCCGCCACTCGGGGAGTCCCGCGCGGTGACGTCACCACGTCACCGCGTTGGCGACAACAAAAACAGAGGCCCTGAGGGGCACCCTGCAGCCTCGCTGCTGTGACCCAGCACTGTGGGGGGGGGGGGTTGGTGACGTCACCTCGCTGCTGTGACCCAGCACTGTGGGGGGGGGGGGTTTGGTGACGTCACCTCGCTGCTGTGACCCAGCACTGTGGGGGGGGGGGGGTTGGTGACGTCACCTCGCTGCTGTGACCCAGCACTGTGGGGGGGGGGGGTTGGTGACGTCACCTCGCTGCTGTGACCCAGCACTGTGGGGGGGGGGGTTGGTGACGTCACCTCGCTGCTGTGACCCAGCACTGTGGGGGGGGGGGGTTGGTGACGTCACCTCGCTACTGTGATCCAGCACTGTGGGGGGGGGGGGGTTGGTGACGTCACCTCGCTACTGTGACTCAGCACTGTGGGGGGGGGGGGGTTGGTGACGTCACCTCGCTGCTGTGACCCAGCACTGTGGGGGGGGGGGGTTGGTGACGTCACCTCGCTACTGTGATCCAGCACTGTGGGGGGGGGGTGGTTGGTGACGTCACCTCGTGCTGTGACCCAGCACTGTGGGGGGGGGGGGGTTGGTGACGTCACCTCGCTACTGTGATCCAGCACTGTGGGGGGGGGGGGTTGGTGACGTCACCTCGCTGCTGTGACTCAGCACTGTGGGGGGGGGTGGTTGGTGACGTCACCTCGTGCTGTGACCCAGCACTGTGGGGGGGGGTTGGTGACGTCACCTCGCTGCTGTGACCCAGCACTGTGGGGGGGGGGGGTTGGTGACGTCACCTCGCTGCTGTGACTCAGCACTGTGGGGGGGGGTGGTTGGTGACGTCACCTCGTGCTGTGACCCAGCACTGTGGGGGGGGGTTGGTGACGTCACCTCGCTGCTGTGACCCAGCACTGTGGGGGGGGGGGGTTGGTGACGTCACCTCGTGCTGTGACCCAGCACTGTGGGGGGTGGTTGGTGACGTCACCTCGTGCTGTGACCCAGCACTGTGGGGGGGGGTTGGTGACGTCACCTCGCTGCTGTGACCCAGCACTGTGGGGGGGTGGTGACGTCACCTTGCAGCTGTGACCCAGCACTGTGGGGGGGAAGGTGACGTCACCTCGCTGCTGTGACCCAGCACTGTGGGGGGGGGGGGGTTGGTGACGTCATCTAGCTGCTGTGACCCAGCACTGTGGGGGGGGGGGGGGGTGTTGGTGACGTCACCACTGACGCTGCTGTGAACTCCCACACACACACAGACGACTCTCTACCCTGTAATCACTCGATACACAACCTACTCCCTGCACACAGAGACAAACACACACTAGAAACGCAGAGAAACATAGACATTACTATGCACAGACTAGAGAGACACACACTACACCGATATACACATAGACTAGAGACACATTCTAGATTTGAAGCTTTCGTGACTGCAAGTATTCATATTCTTAAAATTAATAATTATTCATTTTAATTTTTTACCTACGTGACTTTACCGAAAAAACCTAATAATAGAGACACATACACATCCGACACAGAGACTCAGACTACAGACACGCAGAATTACGTACAGTCCTACACACAAAGACACACAGACGACACAAGAGGCATGTACAGTACTACACACACCGACACAGACTAGACAAACAGATTGCACACAAATTCCCGCCTGTAGATGGTGTGGACAAGTCCCGCTAGCGAGTGGCAGCAGTGCCTAGGGAGGCCGTGACGGCTCACGAGTTGGTGGCTGTCAGCACCACAGCCGCCTGGCTTCGCCTCTGCCCAGCAGCGATGTTCACCGCACAGCGCACCAGGCAGGATGCATTTGGTGCTGAGTCGACCTAGGTGAGGCCCAGGGCCGCTTCAGGTCATTGCCAAAACTGCTGCTGCTGGTGGTGGCCGTGTACAGTGGTCATGTACAGACAGGACACAGAGGGCTTTATACAGAGACACAGACGTATATATATAGTGTACAGTACTCCGTTGGTGGGCATGGAGCGGGGTGGTGGTGGTGGTAGTGGTGTTGGTGGTGTTGGTAGTGGTGTTGGTGGTGTTAGTGGTGCTGGTCTGTGGCCGTTTGGGTCGATGCGTTGTCTCTTGGCCAGCGGTGACGGTGCGAAAAGTTCACTTTCAGCGTGGGCCCAGTTTGGGTGGGGAGGGGGAGAGGAGGGGGCACGGGGGGACAACGCCCCCCCCCCAAAAAAAACTGGACACCTTTATTAATTTATTTTAATGATTTACAAATAAAAATAAATTAAATACTCCGCGATTCCTAATGTGAGGGACAAATATGAAAGTCAAACTCCGCCAATGATTTAAAGTCTTCAACGTTGCCTCATTCGCCGCTTCATTTTTTTGGCGCCAAAAGTGTAAATACAAAATGGCGTCGCAGACTCCATTTTGTCGCATTTATTTATTTATTTACAATTAACGAGCTTTGATAACTTTGTTATGGAAATTCTGAGGTAAATTAATGCGCATATAGCGATCGGAATGCGGTTACAACGTTCTGAATTGTACGAAAATATAAATAGAGACAGTTGTTTGTGTAGATTGTTCAATTTAATGTTTTTTAAAAGTGTTAATGGTTAAAACGTACAAAATGGCTGCCTTCGGGTTGAGCGTTTGTCGAGAGCCGAGTTGGTTCCACGTCTTGGTCGAGATGACCGCAGTGGCTGATTCGGATAGGAGAAACGTTTTTGTTTTAAATATTCACGATCAGCACGGTATGATGAGATATTAAGATGTATTTATTCATCCAAACCGCACCGGGATTGTCCACCCGACGTCCACAACGCGCCCAGTGTCTCTCAACTCCGTGCTCTGTACAAGACGCAGCTACTCACGTTCGCCTGCCCCTAACAGCCGCCATTTAACAAGGCGGAGGGGGGGACCGGTGTTTTATTATTATTTTAATTTGCTTGTTGTTTATTTTATGATTCATGTATTATTCACGCATAATTTATTTTATTTAAATGATTACATATTTCAGATTACTTTCTAATATTATTTATCTAAATTATTACGTTCATTGAAATTATTCGTTCCATTATTAATTTATTATTCATACATAATTAACTTTATTAAAATTATGAAAACAAAAATGTATTGTTTATGTTATTTTATTTAAATATGTAAATGTATGTAACTTATACATTGTTTATATATTTCTTTTTCATTTTATTATTCATTCATCTTATAAATGTTATTATTTATTTCCTCAACTTTGTATTAATTTTCTTTACTTATTATTCACTTTATTTGCTACTTAATGTTCTTCTGCTATTCGTTGCACGTGGCTGCAAATTGACTTTGCTCAGTCGGTGGTCGCCGCTGAGGTCGTGACGGGTTTCTTTTGTTCCATTCCTGTTGCTCTGTGGCCCCGGTACCGTTTCCGTGCTGCTGTGATGTGCACCGATGCCCACTTTAGTGAGGGCGACGTTGGCACGCAGACTGAAGATCGATTGAAGAGGACAAAGCGAGTCCCTTCATGTGCAGTCAATGTCTCTTTATTTTAACAAATATGCAAAACATTACCCCATTGCTCGAGGAGTATTATGATTATGATTGGAATCTCAGCTCCACCGTAACGAAGAATGAAAACTGTCAATGCTCCCCACGTTTCAGCTTTCAACTGAAGAAGCTTCAAATCTTGACGATGCTCCCAGCACGTGGAGGGAATGTCACAGACATCGCGCTGATCAACAAGGGGCAGAACCTGAAAGCGCATCGGAGAGAGGCACAACGCGTAATCTGCACACCGTACTCCGACGTGCACGCCGCTCACCAATCCCAGCGCCACAGTCCAGGCTCAACCTTGCGTAGCTTCCGAGATCTGGAAAAAATAAAATCGGCGACATTCCGGGTTGATTTGGCCACAGCCTCTTGTGAAATCTCCCGTGCACTTTCATTGCTCAGCGCGCCCCGCGAATCCCTGCGGTGGAGTGGCAGCGCCCTCGCGTGGCGCGCACCAACACCGCTCCAGGCAGCGCAGGGACCCAAACGGCGTCTCGGAATCGGTCGCGATTCGTGACTCGGTCCGCAACTCTGGACCAATGCCGGCAGTGAAACAATGAGCCCCACGTGACCCCCAACTTCCCCCCATCTCCCCCAACCCCTAGGGGTCCCTCCTCTCACGTGACAACCCCCAAGCCCCCCCCCCCCCCAGACAACCCACCCCCCAACCTCTACCCCTCCCCCTGGTGGCTGTTGTTGTGGTGGTGATTTTGGTGGGGGTTGTTGTTGTACTTGTAATTGTTGTGGTTGTTGTGGTAGTGGTTGTGGTGGTTGTTGTAGTTGTGGTGGTGGTGGTTGTTGTTGCTGCTCTACCACTTTCTCTTGACGAGCACCACGTGGTCACGTGGCGCCCTCGCGAGAAGTTCCCAGCAGCGTCAGTGGTGACGTCACCAACCCCCCCCCCCCCCCACAGTGCTGGGTCACAGCAGCGAGGTGACGTCACCAATACCCCCCCCCCACAGTGCTGGGTCACAGCAGCGAGGTGACGTCACCAACCCCCCCCCCACAGTGCTGGGTCACAGCAGCGAGGTGACGTCACCAACCCCCCCCCCCCCACAGTGCTGGGTCACAGCAGCGAGGCTGCAGGGTGCCCCTCAGGGCCTCTTTTTGTTTTTGTTGTCGCCAACGCGGTGACGTGGTGACGTCACAGCGCGGGACTCCCCCAGTGGCGGGAATCCAGAACGTCAGAATCTGTGTTTGTGGTGCAGGAGGAATCCGATGAGCTGTAAAGCTCTTTGAGTTCACAGATAGTGCAGTGAGGGGCGGGCGTGAGGGGAGCGCATTGGGGGTGGGGGCGAGAGTGGTGACGTCACCAATTTGGGGAAGCGATCGTGGTGACGTCACCATGTTGGGGGCGCGTGCGTGACGTCACCACGTTGGGGGAGCGTATGTGGTGACGTCACCAAGTCCATGACGCAGCTGCAGCAGACAACTTGAACAGCTCGGACATTGTTGGCGCCTTTTGTGTTTGGCGCCGTCTCTTTATTTGTTTATTAATTTGTAGATTTAATTTGCTTGGCAGTGGCTGTGTAGAGGATTTGGTCCTCGTGTTTAATTAATGAACGGCGTTGCGGGATGCAGTGAGCACGAATGACACTGTACACAACTACATTGTTGTTGTTGTATTCTGTATTTTTATTGTAGAATCGACGATACAAACGTTACATTGCCACAGTCGTACGCGGACATTAATACTTTTAAAAATCAATAATATTATTGATTTGACTTAAATCTTTTATTGACGTCATGAATTTTTGGTTTTACATTTTAAATTTAGATTTAATGTTTATTATTTCATTAATCATATTTTTCTTCTTTTTTTATTTTTTTTATCTACGTGACTTTATCGAAAAAACGTAAAGAATATAATATTATTGTTGTTGTGTTTCTCCCACAACCCAATACACCACCAGTGTATAAACACATCCCAGTTCACCATTGCTAATCACTGCACCCTACACCACAGTCACACTCCTCTGGCAGGGTGAATACATCCACGCTGGCTTCACACACACACAGAGCGGTACCTATTTTATCACCCCTCCTCCCTATGAAGATTGTGAGGATTGTTTACGCTCAGCCCCCCCGTTGTGATGGAGAGCCACGCAGCCCCGAGCCACCGACAGCCACCAGCCAGTCACGGGCGTGGCGCTGCGCGTGGCGGTGACGAGGGTGGCAAGCGCCGTGCGTCGTGGTGGCGTCTGCCCTCTGCGCTGTTCACGTTCACCTCTCTCAGGGCGCACCACTCAGATCCACAATCCTCACTGAGGCACCTTTACCCACCACCAGCCCAGGGTGTAGGGGCTGAGTGAAAGTTTTATTAAACGAGTACAACAGCGCCATGGAGTCGGCGCTGTAAAACGACAGCAGCCCCGCGTCCCAGTCCAGGTGGACCCCGACTCTCCGCGGAGGCTGCGGCACCGACAGTGACGTCTCTACCCCGCCATGCCGCACTGAGAAGCTGTCGCCAAGTTTCTCTAGACACCAGGAGACGTCGCTCCCTCCCAGGCAGCACTCAGCACCAAGCCCTCTCCGTGGGATCGTCCCGTACGCAACTCCAACCCGACACCGCACCGCGCTCCCCACTTCCACCTCCCAGTAGTGCTGACCCGACGAGAAGCTCTCAGAGCACAGGGCTTGTGGATGGTACTCAAAGCGGAGTGGGTGATGGGGGCGACCCTGTGGGACACGGCTCTGCGTCACCGTCATGAGATCCGAGGAAATCTGGAGGCGGTCGTGGGCTGAGTTTGTGTCCAGAGTAGGTGAGCGTCCATCTGTGGTGAGTGTTAGTGTAAACACACTAATATTAGTTAGTATTAGTGTACACGTACTAACATTAGTTAGTGTTAGTGTACACATACTAATATTCGCTAGTATTAGTGTACACACACTAATATTCGTTAGTGTTAGTGTACACACACTAATATTAGTTAGTATTAGTGTACACATGCTAATATTAGTTAGTATTAGTGTACACATACTAATATTAGTTAGTATTAGTGAACACAAACTAATATTCGTTAGTATTAGTGTACACACACTAATATTCGTTAGTATTAGTGTACACAAACTAATATTCGTTAGTATTAGTGTACACATACTAATATTAGTTAGTATTAGTGAACACAAACTAATATTCGTTAGTATTAGTGTACACAAACTAATATTCGTTATTATTAGTGTACACAAATTAATATTCGATAGTATTAGTGTACACACACTAATATTCGTTAGTGTTAGTGTACACATAATAATATTCGTTAGTATTAGTGTACACATACTAATAATAGTTAGTATTAGTGTACACAAATTAATATTCGATAGTAATAGTGTACACAAACTAATATTAGTTAGTGTTAGTGTACACATACTAATATTAGTTAGTATTAGTGTACACATACTAATATTAGTTAGTATTAGTGTACACTTACTAATATTAGTTAGTATTAGTGTACACATACTAATATTAGTTAGTATTAGTGTACACATACTAATATTAGTTAGTATTAGTGAACACAAACTAATATTCGTTAGTATTAGTGTACACATACTAATAATAGTTAGTATTAGTGTACACTTACTAATATTAGTTAGTATTAGTGTACACATACTAATATTCGTTAGTATTAGTGTACACATACTAATATTAGTTAGTATTAGTGTACACATACTAATATTAGTTAATATTAGTGTACACATACAAATATTAGTTAGTATTAGTGTACACATACTAATATTAGTTAGTATTAGAGTACACACACTAATATTCGTTAGTATTAGTGTACACACACTAATATTAGTTAGTATTAGTGTACACACACTAATATTTGTTAGTGTTAGTGTACACAAACTAATATTCCTTAGTATTAGTGTACACTTACTAATATTCATTAGTATTAGTGTACACATAGTAATATTAGTTAGTATTAGTGTACACAAATTAATATTCGATAGTAATAGTGTACACAAACTAATATTAGTTAGTATTAGTGTACACATACTAATGTTAGTTAGTATTAGTGTACACATACTAATATTAGTTAGTATTAGTGTACACATACAATATTAGTTAGTATTAGTGTACACATACTAATATTAGTTAGTATTAGTGTACACATACTAATATTAGATAGTGTTAGTGTACACACACTAATATTCGATATTATTAGTGTACACATACTAATATTCGTTAGTATTAGTGTACACATACTAATATTCGTTAGTGTTAGTGTACACATAGTAATATTAGTTCGTGTTAGTGTACACATACGAATATTCGTTAGTATTAGTGTACACATACTAATATTAGTTAGTATTAGTGTACACATACTAATATTAGTTAGTATTAGTGTATACACACTAATATTAGTTAGTTTTAGTGTACACATACTAATATTAGGTAGTATTAGTGTACACACACTAATATTCGTTAGTATTAGTGTACACATACTAATATTAGTTAGTATTAGTGTACACATACTAATATTAGTTAGTATTAGTGTATACACACTAATATTAGTTGTTTTAGTGTACACATATTAATATTAGTTAGTATTAGTGTATACACACTAATATTAGTTAGTAATAGTGTACACATACTAATATTAGTTAGTATTAGCGTACACGCACTAATATTCGTTAGTGTTAGTGTACACACACTAATATTCGTTAGTATTAGTGTACACATACCAATATTCGTTAGTATTAGTGTACACATACTAATATTCGTTAGTATTAGTGTACACACACTAATATTAGTTAGTATTAGTGTACACAAACTAATATTCGTTAGTATTATTGTACACAAACTAATATTCGTTAGTATTAGTGTACACAAACTAATATACGTTAGTATTATTGTACACAAATTAATATTCAATAGTAATAGTGTACACAAACTAATATTCGTTAGTATTAGTGTATACACACTAATATTCTTTAGTATTAGTGTACACACACTAATATTAGTTAGTGTTAGTGTACACAAACTAATATTCGTTAGTATTAGCGTACACATACTAATATTAGTTAGTGTTAGTGTACACATACTAATATTAGTTAGTATTAGTGTACAATTACTAATATTCGTTAGTATTAGTGTACACATACTAATATTAGTTAGTATTATTGTACACAAACTAACATTCGTTAGTATTAGTGTACATATACTAATATTCGTTAGAATTAGTGTACACATACTAATATTCGTTAGTATTAGTGTACACACACTAATATTCGTTAGTATTAATGTACACAAACTAATATTCGTTTGTATTAGTGTGCACAAACTAATATTCGTTAGTATTAGTGTACATATACTCATATCTGTTAGTATTAGTGTACACAAACTAATATTCGTTACTATTAGTGTACACATACTAATATTCGTTAGTATTAAGGTACACAAATTAATATTCGTTAGTATTAGTGTACACATACTAATATTAGCTAGTATTAGTGTACACACTAATATTCGTTAGTATTAGTGTACACAAACTAATATTCATTAGTATTAGTGTACACATACTAATATTCGTTAGTATTAGTGTACACATACTAATATTTGTTAGTATTAGTGTACACACACTAATATTCGTTAGTATTAGTGTACACACACTAATATTCGTTAGTATTAGTGCACACAAACTAATATTCGTTAGTATTAGTGTACACATACTAATATTAGTTAGTATTAGTGTACACAAACTAATATTCGTTAGCATTAGTGTACACTTACTAATATTCGTTAGCATTAGTTTACACATACTAATATTCGTTTGTATTAGTGTACACACACTAATATTCGTTAGTATTAGTGTACACAAATAAATATTCGATAGTAATAGTGTACACATACTAATATTCGTTAGTATTAGTGTACACAAATTAATATTCGATAGTAATAGTGTACACAAACTAATATTAGTTAGTATTAGTGTACACAAACTAATATTCGTTAGTATTAGTGTACACATACTAATATTAATTAGTATTAGTATACACACACTAATATTAGTTAGTATTAGTGTACACATACTAATATTAGTTAGTATTAGTGTACACACACTAATATTAGTTAGTATTAGTGTACACACACTAATATTAGTTAGTGTTAGTGTACACATACTAATATTAGTTAGTATAAATGTACCCACACAGACATTGTGTGTCACAGCCTCGCACACTCTCGCATCCACACACAGACATTGTGTGTCACAGCCTCGCACACTCTCACATCTACACACAGACATTGTGTGTCACAGCCTCGCACACTCTCACCCACACACAGACATTGTGTGTCACAGCCTCGCACACTCTCACATCTACACACAGACATTGTGTGTCACAGCCTCGCACACTCTCACACCCACACATTGTGTGTCACAGCCTCGCACACTCTCATACCCACACACAGACATTGTGTGTCACAGCCTCACACACTCCCACATCCACACTCAAACATTGTGTGTCACAGCCTCGCACACTCTCACATGCACACACAGACATTGTGTGTCACAGCCTCGCACACTCTCAAACCCACACACAGACATTGTGTGTCACAGCCTCACACACTCCCACACCCACACAAGACATTGTGTGTCACAGCCTCGCACACTCTCACATCCACACACAGACATTGTGTGGCACAGCCTCGCACACTCTCACATCCACACACAGACATTGTGTGTCACAGCCTCGCACACTCTCACATCCACACACAGACATTGTGTGTCACAGCCTCGCACACTCTCACCCACACACAGACATTGTGTGTCACAGCCTCGCACACTCTCACATCCACACACAGACATTGTGTGTCACAGCCTCGCACACTCTCACACCCACACACATACATTGTGTGTCACAGCCTCGCACACTCTCACACCCACACACAGACATTGTGTGTCACAGCCTCGCACACTCTCACACCCACACACAGACATTGTGTGTCACAGTGCTCGTTGGCGAGGGTGGGGATCGTGAAGGTGGAAGCGTAGATGTGCAGTACAACAATGGTTCACGCTGCGCTGCCCCCTGCTTGTGTGATGTGTAAACATTTGACACGAGGGAGACAAAGGTGGCCGGGCGTGGTGCCTCTTTCTCACTGGGCTGACTCTCGATCTGCCTGATGTCATCTCCCTCACCTGGTATGCAGGAGCTTGTAGGTTTGATCCCGACCCTGACCATGACTGCCGCTGCTGTATATTTGGAGTCTGTGTCTCTCATCATCACAGTGGTCAGGGAGATGTTAACAACCTCGCCAGGTATACAGGATGTCATGGGTTCGATCCCGACCTTGACGGTGCCTGCTGTTGCTGCTGTATATTTGGAGTGTTTGTGTCTATCTCCCAGTGGTGGTCGCGTGGAATTTTCTCAGCATCCTCCAATTATTTGCTTCACATTTAGACTCAACTGAATGCGTTAAGATCATTTGGTTGCTACTATAAATTTCCATGTGATAATCCACTTAGTTGAGTTGTCATTTGCGGCCAGTTTCCTTGTGAAAAAGAGCCACATAGCTCAGTGGATCTTACCTGGTAAAATATATATTTTATAAAGATTCACGCCCCAAGGACACGCCACCTGTCTTAAACAAAGTGCAGCAGCCTACCGAGTGGTGCCGGTCTCCATCGTTGTATTTGTAATGCACGATGTCGATAGAGATCAGTGCAGAGTGCAGAGAGAGACTCACACACGAGAGCAATGCGCTTCGTATTCACTCCTCCTAGCGAGATGACCTCTGTGAGCTCTTGGTGACTGAATGTGGGAGGAGGCGCATCCTGGGTCCCCTGCGAGTCCGAGCTCCTGCACTCAGCACGGGACACGCAGAGTCTATGGAGGGTGCAGTCCCTCCACTCACACAGCACGGGACACGCAGAGTCTATGGAGGTGCAGTCCATCCACTCACACAACACGGGACACGCAGAGTCTATGGAGGGTGCAGTCCCTCCACTCACTCAGCATGGGACATGCAGAGTCTATGGAGGGTGCAGTCCCTCCACTCACAAGCACGGGAAACGCAGAGTCTATGGAGGTGCAGTCCTTCCACTCACACAGCACGGGACACGCAGAGTCTATGGAGGGTGGAGTCTCTCCACTCACACAGCACGGGACACGCAGAGTCTATGGAGGTGCAGTCCATCCACTCACTCAGCACGGGACACGCAGAGTCTAATGCAGGTCCATGTCTCTTGACATACGAACAATACGGGATACAACTGCATACAATTGGGTTTATTAGGAATCACATCGTGGCCGTTCACTGATTTGTCCACCAAGTGGCAGACAGAGCTCGAGTTTGAGTCTGGGTTGGTACTGACCTGAGACTCTCATGCAGGGGATCCTGAAAAACACAAACCCGCATTTCACATTAACATTGACATCTTAAACAGATGCCCACCTCCACACAGTCACCTGCCGCTTACAGTGGAGCACAACATCAAGGAATTAACAAATATCTGCAAACAGAGAATGATGAAAAACATAGTTATCTTTGTGCCTTTGTACTGTTATGCCTATTCTTATAAATTTTTGACTTAAAGCTTTCGTGACTGCAGGGATTCATATGCTTGTGTTTCAATCGAAACTTCGTGATTTTTTTTTTTAATATTTTTTAATATTTTTGATATTTTTATTTTTTACATTTTTTAAATGTTTTTTATTTTTACTTTTCTTTCTATCTACGTGACATTACCGAAAGAACCATAGCATATTAATTCCTGCAGTCACGAAAGCTTTAATTCAAAACATAGATTACCTCTTATTATTTTTTCATCAAAAACAGGATTCGTTTAACTGGACACGGACCCCAACAAATACAAAGCCACTCTTTGCAGGTCTAGTCTAGCAGCTAAACACATAGTTAAGTAATGTTCAACAACTCGTGTTTTTTAACTCTTTTTCAGTAGCGAGCTGGTTTTCACAAATGATAGCTTAACGAACTGGCTGATGTGGACATTTATAATAGCAGCCAAATACTCTGAATGGGTGATGTTGATTCGAAATGTGGAGTGAAAAACCAGAGGACCTAGAAAAAAATCTACGCGATCACAGAGAGAGAGAGAGACGTAGACTCCAAATTTACAGCAGACGTCAGGGTCGGGGTCAAACCCACGACCTCCTGCATAGCAGGCGAGATAAATAGCGATGTTGTACTGGACAAGTCCAGGTCTGAATGTCACACGGATGCAAACGAGCGTCTATTTTTGAACACCGCACCTTGCTCCCAGATCGAAAAACACTGAAATAAGATTGCCAACAATGTCAACATCTCACAGGGTGGTGCGGCTCTGCTGGTTGTAGTTAAACCCTTTGATAAACCAAGGCAATGAGTATAACCTATTACATAAACAATTACCTTACCAGGTAAGTCCCACTGAGCTATATAGCTATCCGTCAGAAGTAACCTTGCCAGAAATTAAAATTCAAGAAGTGGCATATCATGTGGAAATTTAAAGCAGCAAATTACCCTAAACACCTGACGTTGATTCTAAATGTAGAAGGAAAAACCGGAGGACCACACATCCACGAGGAGAGAGAGATGCAAACTCCAAATATACAGCAGATGTCAGGGTTGGTTCTAGATTTGAAGCTTTCGTGACTGCAAGGATTCATACTCTTAGGTTTTTTCGGTAAAGTCCCACCTGAAGACGGAGACTTGTGTTGCCTCCGAAACGTCGTGATTTAATTGAGTTATTTGCATTTATAATTAATTTATTTTATTCTTCTTCTTATTCTTTCTTTTTTTACCTACGTGACTTTACCGGAAAAAAACCTAAGAGTAGTAAGTGTTGGTATCGAACCCATGACCACCTGCATATCAGACGAGGTAGTTAACATCTCCTAACCACCACAGCGAGTGAATGGAGGTGGTGCCACCTGCAGGAAGGAGAGCGGGTCCTGCACGGCGAGGGCGGCGAGCAGCTGGTTGATCTCCTGCTCCAGGCCGCGTGCTCTGCTCTCGTAGCGAGCGATGTCCGCCTGGATGCGGGACAGCACGGAGCGGCCCTCCTCGTCCACGCGCTTCAGCGCCTCCCTCTCCTCCTCCTTCAGCTGCTCCCTCCGGCGCTCAAACTCTCGGCTGATCCGCGCCTTGATCCCACGCACAGACTCCTACAGAGACAGTGCCGAGTTGTTGAGTCACTTGTTAGGTAACGACACAATGTGGTGTTTTAAAGGTAATGATTGTTACCATGCCTCGATTAAGTACACGGAGGTGACCGACGTGTGCATTGGGAGCTCGTGAGCATATAAAGCACAGGGAGAATGAGAATGGGATATAAGGAGTAAATATCATAGGCAAGGGTAGTATAGGAATTACTTCTGTCTGTTTCTGAGTGTCAATCTGGGCGATATTAAATACATCTCTATGGGTATCATTCGCATCTGTCTGTCTGTCCGTCCCACTCTGAATTTACCAAACGATGCATAGGAGGGAAACATGAATTAAATCATAACCAAGTCTTGCTGCGGACATTCTCATGAAATTGTGCCAAAGGTCTGCGAATATACAGAACAAATATACGTGACATTGCTCGATGGTTTTAAATTAAAATGTGCTGAAATAGACAAATAATGCTGATTTCGAAGACAATACTCACGTCCACTCTCCCTTGCACTCAGGCTAAGTTAGTGCTCATATTCTTAGGTGTTTTCGGTAAAGTCACGTAGGTAAAACATCAAAATTAATAAAATAATAAAATAAAATAAAGATCACGACGTTTCGGAGGCAACACAAGTGTCCGTCATCAGGTGGGACAGTCACAGCCAGATTAGCTGCATCAAGTGAGGCAATGATTCAAGATGTAATCCCTTAAAAGCGAGTTGAGGGGGGAGGAGAGGGGGGGGGCTCATCAGAATGTGGTAGCCAATGAATGGAAAGTATCGGGAGAGAGGGGCCAAAAAAGGGTTTAATAAAATACGATTCGTAGGCAAACCTCCACGCGACGGTAGTCGTCCCTGAGTGTCCGTGCCCGTGACGCCGCCGTGTTCCTCTTCTCCTCTCTCCCCTCCTTCTTGACTCTGAGCTCCTCCTGCGTTGTGGTAGATAAATCAATAAATACTCGGTGCTCACTATTGCCATTGGTGGATCACTAATAGACCTCATCCCGCATCTCTCCGATTAGGACCGTTGGCTACGAAAGAAGTTCAACACACATACACACATTTGTTGTCAGATTTCAGCACACGTCTTCATTTATACTTTTTCTTTTACCATGATTGTATCGTGACTGCACTATCCGTGTTATATATTGAGATGAAGAATCCAAAGGGAACTACCGTGGAGCTATGCAATATCCTCCTACAACATCATCAACAAATATCACGTACATTCTAAAATATGTTTTTAACCTCTTCCAGTGATGAGTGGAGTGGCTTCTCACACGCCCTACTATACATAGCAACGTTTCTCACTTAGTCAAACTAATATATTGAATGAATTCTCACGTAAAATATTATTTAACGTGCTATGAAATGTTGACTGTGCTTAGACCATCAACTCACTAAACTTGAGAATCCGCTTTAATCCATGGGCGGCCGACACGATTCCAACTCAGCATTACAGCGTTACCGTCTCAGCGTTCTGACGTCTGAGCCACCCTGCCACCTCTACCTGGGTCTCCCTGTAAAGGGACGTTTGGTCTCAACATGAGCTCACCTGGTCGAGGTGAGGGTCACGACCAACTGATGTGAATCTCTCAACCTCCTGTAACAATGTGGATTACAAAGGAACATTACACTTCACCTGTCTTGTCTGTTGCGCTTTTTCCACCGTGATGACTCTGTGTCCATAGTGGTCTCCAGTGATGGTGCACCCTGTGCAGACCGGGCTCTCATCCTGTTCACAGAAGTACTTCAGCTCCTCTCTGTGCTCCCCGCACCGTCGCTCCTCCAGGTTCGCGATGGGAGCCACCAGGACGTGATCACTCAGCCTGGGATTCTCTACATGAGGCCTCAAGTGCTTCGCACAGTAGGACATCTCACATCTCAGGCAGGTCTTCACTGCAGGAGTCTGGCCACCACTGCAATGGTCACACACGATGGCCGCGGCCATCCCGTCTCCAACTCTGAGCTGCTCCACCAGGTTGGCGAGGGCCACGTTCCTCCTCAGCTGGGGTCGCACAGGGAAGGTCGCTCGGCACTGCGGGCAGCTGAAGCTGCTCGCCGTCTCCCAGGCGGCCTCCAGGCACCGCAGGCAAAACGAGTGTCCGCAGCTCAGCGTGGAGGGGCAGACGAACTTGCCCAGGCAGATGGAGCAGCGCAGCTCGCTATCTACACTCTCACTGGGAGTCGCGCTCGCCATGACCCATGGCTTCGCTTGGATCGCTCGCTGTGTGGCTCAGAGAGACGCTGGACCAGGACCTGTCTCTTATAGCGACGGTGAAGAAGGAAGTAAAATGCTGAAAATAGTTTCATTGTCGTCACTGACATCACGAGACACTGCCTGGAATGTGAACCCACGCCCTGAGGTGTGCAAACAGCAGCCTCAATGGTGAACACGGCTACTGTACACACCTTGACATTTAAATAAATGAGTGCTGTTGTTAATATACATCTGTGAGGCTCAGCTGCGGTGGCTCATTCGTGAGATGAGTGTCGAGAGATAAACTCATCCTTCTACAGCAAGTTGGTGGAAAGATGTTATCTCCCTCGCCCGTTATACAGGAGGTCGTGGGTTTGATACCAATCCTGACGCCTGCTTTTTATTTAAAGTTTGCGTCTCTCTCCGTGGTCACGTGAATTTTTCTCCGGGTCCTCCAGTTTTCCCTCCGCATTTACAATCAACATCACGCGTTTGGAGTAGTTGGCTGCAATACATTTCCACGTGATAAGCCATCATTTGTGGCCAGATCGTTTCTGAAAAATAGCTACACAGCTCAGTGAGTCTTACCTGCTAAAATTAAAATAAATAGTTGGCATAGTTGTAGATATCTCATGATGTCTTGTAACTACATCTCCGTGTAATTACCCCAACGTGACAAGTTGCTTGAATGTCATCGTGGCATCAGAAAAATAAGTAATATTAAAAAAAGTTTTTAAAACACGCTGTTATGAAATGTACTAGTAATGGCAGAACTCCACGACTCCAGGAAGTGGCCCCGAAGCTTGCCATGACGTAAGGACCGTGGCCAATTACAGCCAATGTCAGTTGACCATGGACAATTAGACCCAAACCGAAACATAACATATAAAAAAGAATGTTTAAAAATATTGATATTTTTATTTTTTATGATAGAATATAGCATTGTCATTAGTGTGACATAAGTATACCAAGTCTGCAGTCGATACCACATTGGTAAGTGGGTTAAAATTGAGTTACAAGATTTGAGGATACAACAACGGCAACAGAGTGAGTTAAAAGAAAGCGCGTATTAATAAAAAAAAAATACGTGTAGCCTCCCGAGACAGATCCTGGAATCTTGAGTCATTTGCTAGCAGTATGAATCTATCACCAACTCTACCTGCCTCCATCACCCACTGCTGGCGATGTCACCGTCTCTCACTCTCACCTTGTCCGAGACTGCAGATCCCCGTGTCAGCCATTCACAGCCGCACCCACCGCTTGCTTCACCTGCGTTGTTGTTTCATATTCACACGCACGGCTACTCAACACGCATGCACACGCAGCAACACAGATGCCCATCGGCGTTCACCATGATTGCAATATTTTTTTACCAATAAAACTAAACAATGGTTTATCTTACCAGGTGTAATGCCCCACTGAGCTATTAGCTTATTTTCCAAAGCGACCTGCCCATCACAAATGACAGCTCAACAAAGTGGCTCATCAGATTGGAAATGCATAGCAGCCAAATAATCTAAATACTGAACTCTAAACGCCGCTTGAACCTGGAGACGCTCTCCTGGGCTCTGCGGGTTGTTCACAGCAGATAACGAATGCCTTGGACGCTACACCCCAGTTGGCTCATTCCTCGGTGCAGCAGCAGGGACGACTCAGTGCTCAGTGAGGCGCAGTGGCTCCAGGCCAGGCAGGCAGCGCGATCCGCCGCGGATTTTGCAGCCAACAAATCCTCGCAGCGTCCCGGGAGAGCCGGTTAGGTGACAGCTCAGCACCCCTCGGGTGCCAAGCAGCACACACCCGGCTACGCATCCTGTTTCACCCACCCACTCACCCACTTCCCCACCTACCCACTAGGCCTCGGCAAGGTAAGGTAATTTACCTTATTTTACCGGGTAAAGGGGTAAAGATGTCGACATGCCAAGGGGTAAGGTAAAGGGTAACAGGGTAAAGGTAGCTCGGAAGAATTACCCGGTAGGCTAAAGGAAGCGCAAAGTATTACCCGGTAAATACGGTACCTTGTTTACCGCTAAAAGCTCCGTGGCGCAGTCCGTGGCCTACATTTAATAAGCAATATTAAAAAAAACTTTATCAAAAACACGCTTTTATAAAATTTACGAGTAATGGCATAACTCCACGACTCCAGGAAGTGGCCCCGAGGCTTGCCATAACGTAAGGGACCGTGGTGATTTACAGCCAACGTCAGTTGAGCGTGGACAGTTAGACCCAAGCCGAAACATAACATATACAAAATAATGTTTAAAAACATATATTTTTTATGATAGAATATAGTATTGTCATCAGTATGACCTAAGTATACCAAGTTTGCAGTCGATACCACATTAAGAAGTGGGTAAAAATTGAGTTTCAAGATTAGAGGATACAACAACGACAACCACAACAGAGTGAGTTAAATGAAAGCCTGCAACATTGGAATCATCGAGAGTATTCTACATGATTAAAGTGCTCTACCTAGCATTGACCGTTATAAACCTTGTTCATGTGTAGTAGTTCCCTAGTAATTACCCTGTAATCGGGTAATTTTTATGGGGTAAGGGTAAAAGGTAGGGTAAAGGTAAGCTCGTTGCGTTTTACCTTTTACCTTACCTGCTAAAGGGTAAAAGGTAGGGTAGAGTGATTGTATTGTGGTAAGGTTAAAGGTAGGGTAAATGTAGGCTCGTTTTTACCTTTTAACTTTTACCTTGCCGAGGCCTACTACCCACTCACCCACCTCCACTCACCTCCACTTACTCACCCACTCGATCACCCCACGAACAGAGCCTTACCTCGGAGTCCTTAGGAGGAGGCGACACGTAGGCCTCAAGGGTCACGTGGTTTATGAGCGGAGATCGCTCCCTGTAGACAGTGGCTCTTAACCTGGCGTGCACGCAGCCCCTGGGGGTGCGAGATGCCCTTTCTGGGGGGTGTGAGACTTGTTTAGAAGGTAAATCATCGAAACACAAATTAGGCACGGGCCCGTAAGTACGACTCCTTTGTTAATCAAACCCCCAGGTATTTATTCACATTATTCAACATTTTTACTATTGAGAACCAAAGGGGGTGCAAGGCTGCGGTCAAGGTTAAGAACCACTGCTGTCAACATTGCGGGGGCCATCCCATTGCGTGCCTTGCACAAGGGTGGTCCAAATATCTGGTGACCCCTGTTAAATATTTCGTGATAAAAAAAAATATTTGAAAATATTGATAAAACAGTTACAAAAAAATACGTTCAATATGTTAACGTATGCAATTAATTGTGATTAACTAAAATGTGTGCTAAGTGTAATTAAGAATGTGTGATTGCAGATGTTCTTAATTGCCCCTGGTGTGGTGTGTGTCTCTTGTCTTGTTTATTGTGAAGCGGACTTCCCCCCTCTTTAGGGCGACTCATCCTTAATATGAATTCCTGCTGCGGCATGCAATGACAGGCACTGGGAAGACAAAGGCGGTTGGGCAGGCTCTGGTTACACCCCTGGAACACATATTATTCTGGTCGTAGAGAATTTACATAATTCGTATTATGCGTTTTTTCAGAATACGCTAAATCCAGACATTTGGAGAGAAAAAACTTTTACGTTAAAATAGGCAATAGCACTCTTAATATTATTTTTTGGAAAAGGCAAATATACAACGCAGACGGGACACAGAGGACTTTTTTAATAGAAATATACAGACTAGAGACACACAGACGAGAGACAGATTTATGTACGGGAGTATACAGACGGGACAAAGAGGGCTTTATTCAAGCGATGAATGAGAAAGAAAGAGACAGACCGTCGGCCCGTGGCACCTGGGTCTGCCCCGTGACCTCCTGCCAGCGGGCGTTCGACACTTCACGTAGCCTCAAGGTGCACTTGGCCTGGCACAAGCGTCGTGGTGACGTCACCGCCACTCAGTGGCGAATGGCGGTTGTTGTTGTTGAGTGTGTGTGCGTGTGTGTATGAGTGTGGAAAGTGGTAGTGTAGCGCTTAGTCCACTGCGCTATGAACCTGGCGACCCCGGTTCTATTCCTGCTCACGGACCCAGTGACAATTATCTGAACCGGTTTTGGGCCTCCCCTAGGTCGACTCAGCCGCAAATGAGTAAGTGTGTGAGTGAATGAGTGTAACTGAATGCGTAGCCTGGTGTGGGCTGTTCGGCACCCGAGGGGTGCTGAGCTGTCACCTAACCGGCTCTCCCGGGATGCTGCTAAGATTGTTTTGGCTGCAAAACCCGCAGCAGATCACGCTGCCTGCCTGGCCTGGAGCCACTGCGCCTCACTGAGCACTGAGCCGTCGCTGCTGCTGCACCGAGGAATGAGCCGTGGACATCGTGGGAACCCCTTTCGCTCGCATTGGTGACCTTGTGGAAGGAAGCATTCAAACGCATTGGATGAGTCCAGGCCGTGTTCAGTAGAATCCGGTTCTGGTTTTCCCACAAGTCCGACTTGGGTGGAGAGTCAAAGGCATTCGTTATCTGCTGTGAGTTCAAGTTCAAGTTCATTTATTAGGTATAGCCCTGTGAGCCATGCGGCTCTTAAGTCGGGTGCAACCACAACAAACTAAATATGAACACAGAACATCTTAAAGCGACGACGCGTAACAGAAACATCCTGGAATAATCAACAAATATAAAAAAAAACGTATTAAAACGCGAATAATAGGGGGTTTCCCCTTTTTTCTGGCAACAAAAATGAAACCTTTTTACGAGGATTCATGTCTGCCTTAACCACAATACTTGCAGTCAAAATGCAAACAAAAACACACTACGATATATTTTGGTACTGGCAACGGAGGTCTAATGAAAATAAGCTCATATTTCAGTGGGCTTTACCTGGTAAAATAAAAATAGTTTAGTTTTATTCGTATTCTCTTTTTACAATCATGGTGAACGCCAATGGGCATTTGAGTCTGCGTGTGTATGCGTGTTGAGTATCCGTGCGTGTGAGTGTGAAACAACAACGCAGGTGAAGCAAGCGGTGGGTGCGGCTGTGAATGGCCGGCACGGGGATCTGCAGTCTCGGACAAGGTGAGAGTGAGAGTCGGTGACATCGCCAGCAGTAGGTGATGGAGGCAGGTAGAGTTGGTGATAGATTCACACTGCTAGCAAAAGGCTCAAGATTCCAGGATCTGTCACGGTAGGCTACAGACAAATTCCATCTCGGATGCTACAATGACATTCAAGCAACTCATCATGTTGAGGTAATTACACGGAGATGGAGTTAAAGGACATCATGAGATATCTACAACTATACCAACTATTTATTTATTTTACCAGGTTAGGCTCACTGAGCAATGTGGCTATTTAACAGAAACGACATGGCCACAAATGATAGCTCAATGAAGTGGCTTATCACGTGGAAACTTATTGCAGCCAACTACTCTAAACGCGTGATGTTGATTGTGAATGCGGAGGGAAAAACCGGAGAATCCGGAGAAAAATTCACGCGACCAAGGAGAGAGAGACGCAAACTTTAAATATAAATTAGGCGTCACGGTCGGGATCGAACCCACTACTTACTGTATACCGGGCGAGAGAGATAACATTTTGCCACCAACGTGTTGTAGTCGGATGCTTTTATCTCTCGACTCTGATCGCACGAATGAGCCACCGTAACTGAGCCTCATCGATTTATATTAACAAAAGCACTCATTTCTATAAATGTCAGGGTGTGTATAGTAGCCGTGTTCACCTTGAGGCTGCTATTTGCGCACCTTGGGGCGCGGGTTCACATTCCAGGCGGTGTCTCGTGATGTCAATGACGACAATGAAAATATTTTCAGCATTTTACTTCCTTCTTCACCGTCGCTATAAGAGAGAGGTCCTGGTCCAGCGTCTCTCTGAGCCACACAGCGAGCGATCCCAGCGAAGCCATGGGTCATAGCGAGCGTGACTCCCAGTGAGAGTGTGGATAGTGGGATGCGCTGCTACATCTGCCAAGGCACGTTCGTCTGCCCCTCCACGCTGAGCTGCGGACACTCGTTCTGCCTGCGGTGCCTGGAGGCCGCCTGGGAGACGGCGAGCAGCTTCAGCTGCCCGCAGTGCCGAGCGACCTTCCCTGTGCGACCCCAGCTGAGGAGGAACGTGGCCCTCGCCAACCTGGTGGAGCAACTCAGAGTTGGAGACGGGATGGCCGCGGCCATCTTGTGTGACATCTGCGGTGATGGCCACACTCCTGCAGTGAAGACCTGCCTGAGATGTGAGATGTCCTACTGTGTGAGGCACTTGAGGCCTCATGTAGATAATCCCAGGTTGAGAGACCACGCCATAGTGGATCCCATCGCGAACCTGGAGGATCGACGGTGTCGGGAGCACAGAGAGGAGTTCAAGTTGTACTGTGAAGAAGATGATAGTCTGGTCTGCACAGTCTGTGCCATTGGAGGAGACCATTCTGGACACAGGGTCATCGCAGTGGAAAGAGTGCAACAGACAAGACAGGTGAAGTGTCATGTTCCATTGTAATCCACATTGTTACAGGAGGTTGAGAGATTCACATCAGTTGGTCGTGACCCCTCACCTCGACCAGGTGAACTCCTGTTAAGACCAAACGCCCCTCTACAGAGAGTCCCAGGTAGAGGTGGCAGGGTGGCTCAGATGTCAGAACGCTGAGATGGTAAAAATGTTATTCTGAGTTGGAATCAAGTCGGCCGCCCATGGTTTAAACCGGATTCTCAAGTTTAGTGAGTTGATGGTCTAAGCCGAGTAAACATTTTACAGCACGTTAAACGATATTTTGCGTGAGAATTCATAATCTTTGATTGACTAATTGAGAAACGTTGTTATGTATAGCAGGGCGTGTGAGAAGCAACTACACCCATCGCTGGTAGAGGTTAAAAACATATTTTAGACTGTACGTGATATTTGTCAATGATGTTGTTAACCAGATATTGCATTGCTCTGCAGTAGTTACGATTGGATTCTTCATCTCAATAGATGACACGGACAGTGTAGTCGGGATACAATCGTGGGAAAAGTAAAAATATGAATGGAGACGTATGCAGAAATAGAATGACAACAGATGTGTGTATGTGTGTTGAACTTATTTCATAGCCAACCGTGCTAATCAGAGATGCGGGATGATCAATCAGTGATCCACCAATGGCAATGGTGAGCACCGCGTTTTTATTGATTTATTTACCACATGCAGGAGGAGCTCAGAGTCAAGAAGAAGGGGAGAGAGGAGAAGAGGAACACGGCGACGTCACGGGCACGGACACTCAGGGACGACTACCGGCGCGTGGAGGTACAGCGAGAGATGGCAGCCGCGCAATTCCCTCTTCTGGTTTGCCTAAGAATCGTATTTAATTAAACCATACTCTTATTTAACTCTTTGGTTATTTCGGTAAAGTCACGTAAGTAGAAAAAATAATAGATCACGACGTTTCGATCGCAACACAAGCAATCGTCATCAGGTGGGACAACCACAGCAAGAAAAAAACTGCTGAAGTAACTCTTACTATTGACGAGCACTGCCCAACGCGTCGGCGCGGCATACAACTTTGGTGAATTGCAAGCGGTGTGGATTTCAAGAAAATCGTTTCCCAATGACAATTCGCTTGCTGCCTGCTATGAATCTACAAAATCAACGACATCACACTGTAACGAAGCAAAGTGTGAGTTCGTAACTGTGTTTGTCTGTCAGCACTTTTTTGAAAACCCATTTTTTGAGCGCATAAGCTTCATGAAACTTTAATCTTCAATTAAGTGTATTGCTTAAGTGTATTTTTACACATCAGGACAAAAAAATGTGGGAAACATTACAACCAGTTTAGGACGGCCAGAATTGCAAAACACGTTTACTACGTGAATAAAAGGCCACCACGGTATGACACGGAAACTTCATTTATGACGTAACTTTCAACATGACATCAGTTTTGATTTGGGGGGGCAGAATCGATCCACGCTGGACGATGCGTTGGCGACTTGCCCTGTCGATTCCTTTATTGATCACAACCACGATGCTTGCTATGGAATGTTGCAATTCCTCCCTTCTGGCTTCCCCAAATCTGAACCACATCAACTTAGCCTGAGGGCCCGGGAGAGTGGACGTGAGTATTGCCTTCGAAATCAGCATTGTTTGACTCTTTCAGCACATTTTAATTTAAAACAAGAGCAATATGACGTAAATTTGTTCTGTATATTCGCAGAAACTTTGACACACTTTCCTGGGAATGTCCTCGGCAAGAGACTTGGTTTTGATTTAATTCACGTTTCCATCCGACGCATCGTTTGGTAAATCCAGAGTTGGACGGACAGACAGACAGAAGCGAATGATACCCATAGAGATGTATTTAATTTCCCCCAGATTGAAACTCAGCAACGTGTAGCTACAGACAGAAGTAATTCCTATACTACCCTTGCCCATGATATTTTCCCCTTATATCCCATTCTCATTCTCCCTGTGCTTTATATGCTCACGAGCTCCCAATGCACACGTCGCTCACCTCCGTGTACTTAATCGAGGCATGGTAACAATCATTACCTGTACAACACTACATTGCATCGTTTCCTAACAAGTGACTCAACAACTCGCCATTGTCTGCGTAGGAGTCTGTGCGTGGGATCAAGGCGCGGATCAGCCGAGAGTTTGAGCGCCGGAGGGAGCAGCTAAGGCAGGAGGAGAGGGAGGTGCTGGAGCGCGTGGACGAGGAGGGCCGCTCCGTGCTGTCCCGCATCCAGGCGGACATCGCTCGCTACGAGAGCAGAGCACGTGGCCTGGAGCAGGAGATCAACCAGCTGCTCGCCGCCCTCGCCGTGCAGGACCCGCTCTCCTTCCTGCAGGTGGTACCACCTCCATTCACTCGCCGTGGTGGCTAGGAGATGCTAACTACCTCGCCTGATATGCAGGAGGTCGTGGGTTCGATACCAACCCTGACATCTGCTGTTAATTTGGAGTTTGCGCCTCTCTCTCCTTGTAGATGCGTGGTCCTCTGGGTTTTCCCTCCACATTTAGAATCAACATCAGGTGTTTAGGGAAATTTGCTTCGAATAGATAATAGGTTTTTCCCCTTTTTTCTGGCAACAAAACAGGTGTTAAGATGTTAAAGACCAAACTGAAACCTTTACGAAGAATCATGTCTGCATTAACCACAATATGTATGGTTAGAATGCATACAAAAAACATACTCTGATAATATACTGTATGCATTGTTCTTGAAACTGATTTGTCCACCCCAGAGACAGTTTTCTTTTGACATACGCCTTTTGGCGTCCTCTGGCCTAACAATGTTTGAGACGAGGCCCAAAAGAAAGCTTTCTCTGGTGTGGAACAATCAGTTTCAAGGACGATGCCACATATATTATCAGAGTGTGTTTTTGGTTTGAATTCTGACCAAAGGCATTGTGGTTAATGCAGACATGATTCCTTGTAAAAGGTTTCAGTTTGGTGTTTTAACATCTTAACACTTGTTTTGTTGCCAGAAAAAAGGGGAAATCCTATTCTCATATTTTGGTACTGGCAAAGGAGGTGCCATGGTGAGGCTTAACAGTACAAAGGCAATGCAAGTATCAAAGTATTAATAGCTCTGGTTGAGCAGTGATACCTTGCAATAGGAATCTGTTAGGTGTTAAGAACAAGAACATGTTAACACCTCCTAATTTAATTGCCATACATTATAAAGTCACTTCCTACTTTTTTCATCATATCAATATTGGCAAATAGGTCCCATAGATAACTGTTTTTCATCATTCTCTGGTTGCAGGTATTTATTAATTCCTTGATGTTGTGCTCCATTGTAAGCGGCAGGTGACTGTGTGGAGTTGGGGCATCTGTTTAAGATGTCAATGTTAATGTGTAATGCGGGTTTGTGTTTTTCAGGATCCCCTGCATGAGAATCTCAGGTCAGTACAAACCCAGACTCAAACTCGAGCTCTGTCTGCCACCTGGTGGACAAATCAGTGAACGGTCGAGATGTGATTCCTAATAAACCCAATTGTATGCAGTTGTATCCCGTATTGTTCGTATGTCAAGAGACATGGACCTGCATTAGACTCTGCGTGTCCCGTGCTGAGTGAGTGGAGGGACTGCACCTCCATAGACTCTGCGTGTCCCGTGCTGAGTGAGTGGAGGGACTGCACCTCCATAGACTCTGCGTGTCCCGTGCTGAGTGAGTGGAGGGACTGCACCTCCATAGACTCTGCGTGTCCCGTGCTGTGTGAGTGTAGGGACTGCACCTCCATAGACTCTGCGTGTCCCGTGCTGCGTGAGTGGAGGGACTGTACCCTCCATAGACTCTGCGTGTCCCGTGCTGCGTGAGTGGAGGGACTGTACCCTCCATAGACTCTGCGTGTCCCGTGCTGCGTGAGTGGAGGGACTGCACCTCCATAGACTCTGCGTGTCCCGTGCTGCGTGAGTGGAGGGACTGTACCCTCCATAGACTCTGCGTGTCCCGTGCTGAGTGCAGGATCTTGGACGCGCAGGGAATCCAAGATGCGCCTCCTCCCACATTCAGTCCCCAAGAGCTCACAAAGGTCATCTCGCTAGGAGGAGTGAATACGAAGCGCGTGGCTCTCGTGTGTGAGTCTCTCTCTGCACTGACCTCTGTCAACATCGTTCATGACAAACACCAAGATTCAGACCGGCACCGCTCGGTAGGCTGTTGCCCTTTGTTTAAGACAGGTGGCGTGTCCTTGGGGCGTGAATCTTAAAAAAAAATTTTAGCAGGTAAGATCCACTGAGCTATGTGGCTCTTTTTCACAAGGAAACTGGCCGCAAATGACAACTCAACTAAGTCGATTATCACATGGAAATTTATAGTAGCAACCAAATGATCTTAACGCATTCAGTTGAGTCTAAATGTGAAGCAAATAATTGGAGGATGCGGAGAAAATTCCACGCGACCACCACTGGGAGATAGACACAAACACTCCAAATATACAACAGCAACAGCAGGCACCGTCAAGGTCGGGATCGAACCCATGACCTCCTGTATACCTGGCGAGGTTGTTAACATCTCCCTGACCACTGTGATGATGAGAGACACAGACTCCAAATATACAGGAGCGGCAGTCATGGTCAGGGTCGGGATCAAACCTACAAGCTCCTGCATACCAGGTGAGGGAGATGACATCGGGCAGATCGAGAGTCAGCCCAGTGATAAAGAGGCACCACGCCCGGCCGCCTTTGTCTCCCTCGTGTCAAATGTTTACACATCACACAAGCAGAGGGCAGTGCAGCGTGAACCATTGTTGTACTGCACCTCTACGCTTCCACCTTCACGAGCCCCACCATCGCCAACGAGCACTGACGAGAGCGGTGAAGTATGGTCAAATAACCCCCCCCCCCCCTGGATGCGCACGGCGAGGGGAGGCGCTCACAGACAATGTCTGTCTGTGGATGTGAGAGTGTGCGAGGCTGTGACACACAATGTGTGTGTGTGGGTGTGAGAGTGTGCGAGGCTGTGACACACAATGTCTGTGTGTGGGTGTGAGAGTGTGCGAGGCTGTGACACACAATGTCTGTGTGTGGATGTGAGAGTGTGCGAGGCTGTGACACACAATGTGTGTGTGTGGATGTGAGAGTGTGCGAGGCTGTGACACACAATGTCTGTGTGTGGATGTGAGAGTGTGCGAGGCTGTGACACACAATGTCTGTGTGTGGGTGTGAGAGTGTGCGAGGCTGTGACACACAATGTCTGTGTGTGGATGTGAGAGTGTGCGAGGTTGTGACACACAATGTGTGTGTGTGGATGTGAGAGTGTGCGAGGCTGTGACACACAATGTGTGTGTGTGTGGATGTGAAAGTGTGCTAGGCTGTGACACACAATGTGTGTGTGTGGATGTGAGAGTGTGCGAGGCTGTGACACACAATGTGTGTGTGTGTGGATGTGAGAGTGTGCTAGGCTGTGACACACAATGTGTGTGTGTGTGGATGTGAGAGTGTGCGAGGCTGTGACACACAATGTGTGTGTGTGTGGATGTGAGAGTGTGCTAGGCTGTGACACACAATGTGTGTGTGTGTGGATGTGAGAGTGTGCGAGGCTGTGACACACAATGTCTGTGTGTGGGTGTGGGAATGTGCGAGGCTGTGTCACACAATGTGTGTGTGTGTGGATGTGAGAGTGTGCGAGGCTGTGTCACACAATGTGTGTGTGTGTGGATGTGAGAGTGTGCGAGGCTGTGACACACAATGTCTGTGTGTAGATGTGAGAGTGTGCGAGGCTGTGTCACACAATGTGTGTGTGTGTGGATGTGAGAGTGTGCGAGGCTGTGACACACAATGTGTGTGTGTGTGGATGTGAGAGTGTGCGAGGCTGTGACACACAATGTGTGTGTGGATGTGAGAGTGTGCGAGGCTGTGACACACAATGTCTGTGTGTGGATGTGAGAGTGTGCGAGGCTGTGACACAATGTCTGTGCGATGATGTGAGAGTGTGCGAGGCTGTGACACACAATGTCTGTGTGTGGGTGTGGGAGTGGCGTCAACATCGTGGTGCTGGCATCATCACCGCTGTTCACTGCCACTGTACACACACACATGGTCATGTTAGTGTAGCACTTATTATTAATATTATTTATTATTCACTATTTATTTTTATTATTCACTTATTATTATTATTCACGAGTGATTAACAGTATGTGTATGCAGATACTAGCTAATATTAGTTTCTGTACACTAATACTAACGAATATTAGTATGTGTACACTAATACTAACGAATATTAGTGTGTGTACACTAATATTAACTAATATTAGTATGTGTACACTAATACTAACTAATATTAGTATGTGTACACTAATACTAACTAATATTAGTATGTGTACACTAACACTAACTAATATTAGTATGTGTACACTAATACTAAATAATATTAGTATGTGTACACTAACACTAACTAATATTAGTATATGTACACTAATACTAACTAATATTAGTATGTGTACACTAATACTAACTAATATTAGTATGTGTACACTAACACTAACTAATATTAGTATGTGTACACTAACACTAACTAATATTAGTATGTGTACACTAATACTAACTAATATTAGTGTGTGTACACTAATACTAACTGATATTAGTATGTGTACACTAACACTAACTAATATTAGTGTGTGTACACTAACACTAACTAATATTAGTGTGTGTACACTAATATTAACTAATATTAGTATGTGTACACTAATACTAACTAATATTAGTGTGTGTACACTAATACTAACTAATATTAGTATGTGTACACTAATATTAACTAATATTAGTATGTGTACACTAATACTAACTAATATTAGTATGTGTACACTAATATTAACTAATATTAGTATGTGTACACTAATACTAACTAATATTAGTGTGTGTACACTAATACTAACTAATATTAGTATGTGTACACTAATATTAACTAATATTAGTATGTGTACACTAACACTAACTAATATTAGTATGTGTACACTAACACTAACTAATATTAGTATGTGTACACTAATACTAACTAATATTAGTGTGTATACACTAATACTAACTAATATTAGTATGTGTACACTAACACTAACTAATATTAGTATGTGTACACTAATACTAACTAATATTAGTATGTGTACACTAACACTAACTAATATTAGTATGTGTACACTAATACTAACTAATATTAGTGTGTGTACACTAAAACTAACTAATATTAGTATATGTACAATAATACCAACGAATATTAGTTTGTGTACACTTATACTAACGAATATTAGTGTGCGTATACTAATACTAACGAATATTAGTTTGTGTACACTATTACTATCGAATATTAATTTGTGTACACTAATACTAACGAATATTAGTATGTGTACACTATTACTATCGAATATTAATTTGTGTACACTAATACTAACGAATATTAGTATGTGTACACTAATACTAACTAATATTAGTATGTGTACACTAATACTAACGAATATTAGTATGTGTACACTAATACTAACGAATATTAGTGTGTGTACACTAATACTAACGAATATTAGTATGTGTACACTAATACTAACGAATATTAATTTGTGTACATTAATACTAACGAATATTAGTGTGTGTACACTAATACTAACGAATATTAGTGTGTGTACACTAATACTAACGAATATTAGTGTGTGTACACTAATACAAACGAATATTAGTGTGTGTACACTAATACTAACGAATATTAGTGTGTGTACACTAATACTAACTAATATTAGTTTGTGTACACTAATACTAACGAATATTAGTATGTGTACACTAATACTAACGAATATTAGTGTGTGTACACTAATACTAACGGATATTAGTGTGTGTACACTAATACTAACGAATATTAGTGTGTGTACACTAATACTAACGAATATTAGTGTGTGTACACTAATACTAACGAATATTAGTGTGTGTACACTAATACTAACGAATATTAGTGTGTGTACACTAATACTAACGAATATTAGTATGTGTACACTATTACTATCGAATATTAATTTGTGTACACTAATACTAACGAATATTAGTGTGTGTACACTAATACAAACGAATATTAGTATGTGTACACTAATACTAACGAATATTAGTGTGTGTACACTAATACTAACGAATATTAGTATGTGTACACTAATACTAACGAATATTAATTTGTGTACATTAATACTAACGAATATTAGTGTGTGTACACTAATACTAACGAATATTAGTGTGTGTACACTAATACTAACGAATATTAGTGTGTGTACACTAATACTAACGAATATTAGTGTGTGTACACTAATACTAACGAATATTAGTGTGTGTACACTAATACTAACGAATATTAGTGTGTGTACACTAATACTAACTAATATTAGTTTGTGTACACTAATACTAACGAATATTAGTATGTGTACACTAATACTAACGAATATTAGTGTGTGTACACTAATACTAACGGATATTAGTGTGTGTACACTAATACTAACGAATATTAATTTGTGTACACTAATACTAACGAATATTTGTATGTGTACACTAATACTAACGAATATTAGTGTGTGTACACTAATACTAACTAATATTAGTTTGTGTACACTAATACTAACGAATATTAGTATGTGTACACTAATACTAACGAATATTAGTATGTGTACACTAATACTAACGAATATTAGTATGTGTACACTAATACTAACTAATATTAGTTTGTGTACACTAATACTAACGAACATTAGTATGTGTACACTAATACTAACGAATATTAGTGTGTGTACACTAATACTAACGGATATTAGTGTGTGTACACTAATACTAACGAATATTAATTTGTGTACACTAATACTAACGAATATTTGTATGTGTACACTAATACTAACGAATATTAGTGTGTGTACACTAATACTAACGAATATTAGTGTGTGTACACTAACACTAACTAATATTAGTATGTGTACACTAACACTAACTAATATTAGTATGTGTACACTAATACTAACGAATATTAGTTTGTGTACACTAATACTAACGAATATTAGTTTGTGTACACTAATACTAACTAATATTAGTTTGTGTACACTAATACTAACGAATATTAGTTTGTGTACACTAATACTAACGAATATCAGTGTGTGTACACTATTACTAACGAATATTAGTATGTGTACACTAATACTAACGAATATTAGTTTGTGTACACTAATACTAACGAATATTAGTTTGTGTACACTAATACTAACGAATATTAGTATGTGTACACTAATACTTACGAATATTAGTATGTGTACACTAATACTAACGAATATTAGTATGTTTACACTAATACTAACTAATATTAGTTTGTGTACACTAATACTAACGAATATTAGTATGTGTACACTAATACTAACGAATATTAGTATGTGTACACTAATACTAACGAATATTAGTATGTTTACACTAATACTAACTAATATTAGTTTGTGTACACTAATACTAACGAATATTAGTATGTGTACACTTATACTAACGAATATTAGTATGTGTACACTAATACTAACGAATATTAGTATGTGTACACTTATACTAACTAATATTAGTATGTGTACACTTATACTAATTAATATTAGTATATGTACACTAATACTAACGAATATTAGTATGTGTACACTAATACTAACGAATATTAGTATGTGTACACTATTACTATCGAATATTAATTTGTGTTCACTAATACTAACTAATATTAGTATGTGTACACATACTAACGAATATTAGTATGTGTACACTAATACTAACGAAGATTAGTTTGTGTTCACTAATACTAACTAAAATTAGTATGTGTACACTTATACTAACTAATATTAGTATATGTACACTAACACTCACGAATATTAGTATGTGTACACTAATACTAACTAATATTAGTATGTGTACACTAATACTAACTAATATTAGTATATGTACACTAACACTAACTAATATTACTATGTGTACACTAACACTAACTAATAATTGTATGTGTACACTAATACTAACGAATATTGGTGTGTTTACACTAATACTAACTGATATTAGTATGTGTACACTAATACTAACGAATATTAGTATTTGTACACTAATACTAACTAATATTAGTATGTGTACACTAACACTAACTAATATTAGTATGTGTACACTAATACTAACTAATATTAGTATGTGTACACTAATACTCACCACAGATGGACGCTCACCGACTCTGGACACAAACTCAGCCCACGACTACCTCCAGATTTCCTCGGATCTCAGGACGGTGACGCTGAGCGATGTCTCCCAGGGTCGCCCCCATCACCCACACCGCTTTGAGTACTTGTCACAAGCCCTGTGCTCTGAGAGCTTCTCGTCGGGTCAGCACTACTGGGAGGTGGACGTGGGGAGCGTGAGGTGGGGGTATCGGGTTGGAGTCGCGTACGGGACGATCCCACGGAGAGGGAGTGGTGATGAGTGCCGCCTGGGAGGGAGCGACGTCTCCTGGTGTCTACACAAACAAGGCGACAGCTTCTCAGTGCTGCATGGCGGGGTAGTGACGTCACTGTCGGTGCCGCAGCCTCCGCGGAGAGTCGGGGTCCACCTGGACTGGGACGCGGGGCTGCTGTCGTTTTACAGCGCCGACTCCATGGCGCTGTTACACTCGTTTAATACAACTTTCACTCAGCCCCTCCACCCTGGGCTGATGGTGGGGTATTCCGGTGTTTTTGGTGACTCAGTGAGGATTGTGGATCTGAGTGGCGCGTCCTGAGAGAGGTGAACGTGAACAGCGCAGAGGGCAGACGCCACCACGACGCACGGCGCTCGCCACCCTCGTCACCGCCATGCGCAGCGCCACGCCCGTGACTGGCTGGTGGCTGTCGGTGGCTAGGGGCTGCGTGGCTCTCCATCACAACGGGGGGGCTGAGCGTAAACAATCCTCACAACCTTCATGGGGGGGGGGTGATAAAATAAGTACCGCTCTGTGTTTGTGTGAAGCCAGCGTGGATGTATTCACCCTGCCAGAGGAGTGTGACTGTGGTGAAGGGTGCAGTGATTAGCAATGGGGAACTGGGATGTGTTTATACACTGGTGGTGTCATGGGTTGTGGGAGAAACACAACAACAATAATAATATATTCTTTATGTTATTTCGGTAAAGTCACGTAGATAAAAAAAGAAAAATATGAAAATTTTAATAATAAACATTAAATAAAAATGTAAAATGTGAAACCAAAAATTCATGACGTTTTGATCGCAACACACGCGGCCGTCATCAGTCAAGAAAATTTTTACGTCAAAACAATAATATTGATTTTTAAATCCTTTATATTAAGTTCACTTGCTTGCTTGCGTGCTTATAATTTCCAAAATTTTACACTTTTTAGGAAAAAATTAATTATATTTAATTACCAATTGCTTAATGCTGGCAGGCATTCATCTGACCCATAGGTGGCAGCCATCTCAAGCCAGAGGACGAGAGGACTCGAGCCGCCACGCATATAAAGGATTTATAGTGAAAAACTTTGTTTTTACGGGTTAATTTTTTAAAAGTATAAATGCCGTGTACGACTGTGGCAATGTAACGCTTTTATCATCGATTCTACAATAAAAATACAGAATTCAACAACAACAATGTAGTTGTGTACAGCGTCATTCGTGCTCACTGCATCCCGCAACGCCGTTCATTAATTAAACACGAGCACCAAATCCACTACGTAGCCACTGCCAAGCAAATTAAATCTACAAATTAATAAACAAATAAAGAGACGGCGCCAAACACAAAAGGCGCCAACAATGTCCGAGCTGTTCAAGTTGTCTGCTGCTGCAGCGTCATGGACGTGGTGACGTCACCACGCACGCTCCCTCAACGCGGTGACGTCACCACGCACGCCTCCCCAACGCGGTGACGTCACCACGCACGCTCCCCCAACGTGGTGATGTCACCACGCACGCTCCCTCAACGCGCTGACGTCACCACGTCACCTCTCCCCCCACCCCCCTCACGCCCGCCCGTCACCACTGCACCATCTGTGAACACAAAGAGCTTCACAGCTCATCGGATTCCTCCTGCACCACAAACACAGATTCTGACGTTCTGGATTCCCGCTACTGGGGGAGTCCCGCGCTGTGACGTCACCACGTCAACGCGCTGTGACGTCATCACGTCACCGCGCTGTGACGTCACCACGTCACCACGTCACCGCGCTGTGACGTCACCACGTCACCGCGTTGGCGACAACAAAAACAAACAGAGGCCCTGAGGGGCACCCTGCAGCCTCGCTGCTGTGACCCAGCACTGTGGGGGGGGGGGGGGGTTGATGACGTCACCTCGCTGCTGTGACCCAGCATTGTGGGGGGGGGGGGGGGTTGGTGACGTCACCTCGCTGCTGTGACCCAGCATTGTGGGGGGGGGGGGGGTTGGTGACGTCACCTCGCTGCTGTGACCCAGCACTGTGGGGGGGGGGGGGTTGATGACGTCACCTCGCTGCTGTGACCCAGCATTGTGGGGGGGGGGGGGGTTGGTGACGTCACCTCGCTGCTGTGACCCAGCATTGTGGGGGGGGGGGGGTTGGTGACGTCACCTCGCTGCTGTGACCCAGCACTGTGGGGGGGGGGGGGGGGTTGGTGACGTCACCTCGCTGCTGTGACCCAGCACTGTGGGGGGGGGGTTGGTGACGTCACCTCGCTGCTGTGACCCAGCACTGTGGGGGGGGGGGGGTTGGTGACGTCACCTCGCTGCTGTGACCCAGCACTGTGGGGGGGGGGGGGGTTGGTGACGTCACCTCGCTGCTGTGACCCAGGACTGTGGGGGGGGGTTGGTGACGTCACCGCTGACGCTGCTGGGAACTTCCCGCGAGGGCGCCACGTGACCACGTGGTGCTCGTCAGGAGACAGTGGTAGAGCAGCAACAACCACCACCACAACCACAACAACCACCACTACGACAACCACCACAACAACAACCACCACAACAACTACCACCACAACAACCACAACAACAACCACCATAACAAACACCACCAAAATCACCACCACAACAACAGTCACCAGGGAGAGGGGTAAAGGTGTGGGGGGGCTTAGGGGTTGTCACGTGATAGGAGGGACCCCTAGGGGGTGGGGGAGATGGGGATGTTGGGGGTCACGTGGGGTTCGTTGTTTCACTGCCGGCACTGGTCCAGAGTTGCGGACCGAGTCACGAATCGCGACCGATTCCCAGACGCCGTTTGGGTCCCTGCGCTGCCTGGAGCGGTGTTGGTGCGCGCCACGCGAGGGCGGTGCCACTCCACCGCAGGGATTCGCGGGGCGCGCTGAACAATGAAAGTGCACGGGAGATTTCACAAGAGACTGTGGCCAAATCAACCCGGAATGTCGCCGATTTTTGTTTTTCCAGATCTCGGAAGCTGCGCAAGGTTGAGCCTGGACTGTAGCGCTGGGATTGGTGAGCGGCGTGCATGTCGTAGTGCGGTGTGCAGATGACGCGTTGTGCCTCTCTCAGATGCGCTGTCAGGTTCTGTCCCTTGTTGATCAGCGCGATGTCTGTGACGTTCCCTCCACGTGCTGGGAGCATCGTCAAGATTTGAAGCTTCTTCAGTTGAAAGCTGAAACGTGGGGAGCATTGACAGCTTTAATTCTTCGTTACGGTGGAGCTGAGATTCCAATCATAATTGTTAAGTTATTTAATGAGCTTCAGGATACTCCTTGAGCAATGGGGTAATTTCGATTTAAAGCTTTCGTGACTGCAGGGATTCATCTTCTTGGTTCTTTCGGTAAAGTCAAGGAAAATAATAAAATAATAAAAATAAAACATAATAAAATTATTCTCACGACGTTTCGGCCACAACGCATGCAGTCGTCTTCAGGTGGAGAACAGGTCTGTCGAGAAGGCAGAGTCTGCCCCCTCTCTCTACCCCCCAGAGTCTGCCTTCTCGACAGACCTGTTCTCCACCTGAAGACGGCTGCTTGCGTTGTGGCCGAAACGTCGTGAGAATTATTTTATTATGTTTTATTTTTATTATTTTATTATTTTCCTTCTACGTGACTTTACCGAAAGAACCAAGAAGACAATGGGGTAATGTTTTGCATGTTTGTTCAAGTAAAGAGACATTGACTGGACATGAAGGGACTCGCTTTTGTCCTCTTCAATCGATCTTCAGTCTGCGTGCCAACGTCGCTCTCACTAAAGTAGTCATCGGTGCACATCGCAGCAGCACGGGGACGGTACCGGGGCCACAGAGCAACAGGAATGGAACAAAAGAAGCCCGTCACGACCTCAGCGGCGACCACCGACTGAGCAAAATCAATTTGCAGCCGCGTGCAACGAATAGCAGAAGAACATTACGTAGCAAATAAAGTAAATAATAAGTAAAGAAAATGAATAAAAAGTTAAGGAAATAAATAATAACATTTATAAGATGAATGAATAATAAAATGAAATAATTATATATAAAAACAATGTATAAGTTACATGAATTTACAAACTGAAATAAATTAACGTACAAATTTTTTTCATAATAATAAAGTTAATTATGTTTGAATAATAAATTAATAATGGAATGAATAATTTAAATGAACGTAATAATGTAGATAAATAATATTAGAAAATAATATTTATGAAATATGTAATCATTTACATAAAATAAATTATGCATGAATAATACATGAATAATAAAATAAACAACAAGCAAATTAAAAGAATAATAAAACACCGGTCCCCCCCTTCGCCTTGTTAAATGGTGGCTGTTAGGGGCAGGCGAGTGTGAGTAGCTGCGTCTTGTACAGAGCACGGAGTTGAGAGACACTGGGCGCGTTGTGGACGTCGGGTGGACAATCCCGGTGCGGTTTGGATGAATAAATACATCTTAATATCTCATCATACCGTGCTAATCGTGAATATTTAAAACAAAAACGCTTCTCATATCCGAATCAGCCACTGCAGTCATCTCGACCAAGACGTGGAACCAACTCGGCTCACGACAAACGCTCAACCCGAAGGCAGCCATTTTGTACGTTTTAACCATTAACACTTTAAAAAACACGTTAAATTGAACAATCTACACAAACAACTGCCTCTATATTTTCGTACCATTCAGAACGTTGTGTCCGCATTCCGATCGCTATATGCGCATTAATTTACCTCAGAATTGCCATAACAAAGTTAGCAAAGCTCGTTAATTGCAAATAAATAAGTAAATGCAACAAAATGGAGTCTGCGACGCCATTTTGTATTTACACTTTTGGCGCCAAAAAATGAAGCGGCGAATGAGGCAACGTTGAAGACTTTAAATCATTGGCGGAGTTTGACTTTCATATTTGTCCCTCACATTAGGAATTGCGGGAGTATTTAATTTATTTTTATTTGTAAATCATGAAAATAAATTAATAAATGTGCCCAGTTTTTTTTTTTTTGGGGGGGGGGCGTTGTGCCCCCTCCTCTCTCCCCTTCCCACCCAAACTGGGCCCACGCTGAACGTTAACTTCTCGCACTGTCACCGCTGGCCAAGAGACCCACGCGGCCACAGACCACGACCACCACCACTACCACCACTCCCAACACTACCACCACTACCACTAACACCACTTCCACCACCACTACTACCACCACCACTACCACCACCAACACTACCACCACCAATACCAACACCAACACTGCTACTACCACCACTACTACCACTACTACTACCACCACTACCACTACTACCACCACCACCACTACTACAACCACCACTACCAACACCGCTACTACCACCACTACTACCACTACCACCATTACTACCACCACTACCACCACCACTACCAACACCACTACGACCAACATCAATACCACCACTACCGCCACAGTAAGGGCACGGGGTCACGGCAAGTTACAGCAGCAAACAATGCAAAGTAAAACAGGGGTGTAAAATAGGGAGAAAGGTATAGAAATCACTTAACACAAATAAAACTATACAGATGAAATTATACAAAATATACAAATAAAACTAAACGATGTTTTATTTTACCAGGTAAAGCCGACTGAGGTATTAGCTTCTTTTTCAAAAGGTACGCAAGTCACTAAATATAAGCAAATCAAGATCAATTAAGTTGGATTACATTATCAACTTGAACATACAACTGAATTATAAATGTGTTTATTTAATTGTTATCATTGTACAAATGCAAATAATTGGAAGCTTTCGTGACTGCAGGAATCCCTACTCTTTGGTTCTCTCGGTAAGCCACGTAGGTAGAAATGTGCAGCGATTACATTATCAACTTGAACACACAATTCTAGATTTGAAGCTTTCGTGACTGCAAGGATTGATACTCTTAGGTTTTTTTCAGGAAGAACCAAGAAGAAGAATCCCTGCAATCACAAAAGCTTTAAATCGAAATGTATCAAGTGAGGCAAAATTCCAAGAGACCAGCTCTTAAATACATGTTAAGGGGGGGGGGGGGGGGGGGGGCTTATCTGAATGTGGTAGCCAATGAATGGAACGTGGGCGGGGCTAAACACACAACTGAATAATAAATGTTGATGTATTCGTTACCCTTGTACAAGTAACCAACGAGCGAGTGTGTGGATGTGAGAGTGGCCACTAAACGGCAGCGCACAGACAAAGATACCCTGCGTAGCCTCCACAGGCGGCGGGGGCAAGTGCTGTTAGCGAGCGCCTATTAAGGCTGGAGAGGTATCCACGGCAGGGCTGTGTGTGAACAGCACCACGCCCGACCGCCTTTGTCTCCCCGGTGCTGGCGATGTTTACACGCCGCACCAGGGAAACATTTGAGGCTGAGTCGACCTAGGGGAGGCCCGGTTCAGATAATCGTCGCCGGTGTTGGCCGTGAGCAGGGATCGAACCCGGGTGGCACAACGAGCTGATCGCTACACACAGCACACACGGGGGCCTGCGTCTCTCTCTCTCTTACTCACCGCTTGTGTGAAGCCCTCTGTGTGTCCTGTCTGTATACCACTGTGCACGATTATGTGTGTCTCTGTGTAGTACTGTACACTCTATATACACTTCTGTGTGTCTCTGTGTAGTACTGTACACTATATATACACTTCTGTGTGTCTGTGTAGTACTGTACACTATATATACACTTCTGTGTGTGTCTGTGTAGTACTGTACACTATATATACACTTCTGTGTGTCTCTGTGTAGTACTGTACACTATATATACACTTCTGTGTGTCTGTGTAGTACTGTACACTATATACACTTCTGTGTGTCTCTGTGTAGTATTGTACACTATATACACGTCTGTGTGTCTCTGTAGTACTGTACACTCTATATACTTATGTGTGTCTGTGTAGTACTGTACACTATATATACACTTCTGTGTGTCTCTGTGTAGTACTGTACACTATATATACACTTCTGTGTGTCTCTGTGTAGTACTGTACACTATGTATAGACTTCTGTGTGTCTCTGTGTAGTACTGTACACTATACACTTATGTGTCTGTGTAGTACTGTACACTATATACACTTCTGTGTGTCTCTGTGTAGTACTGTACACTATATATACACTTCTGTGTGTCTGTGTAGTACTGTGCACTCTATATACACTTCTGTGTGTCTCTGTGTAGTACTGTACACTATATATACACTTCTGTGTGTCTGTGTAGTACTGTACACTATATATACACTTCTGTGTGTCTCTGTGTAGTATTGTACACGATATACACGTCTGTGTGTCTCTGTAGTACTGTACACTCTATATACTTATGTGTGTCTGTGTAGTACTGTACACTATATATACACTTCTGTGTCTCTGTGTAGTACTGTACACTATATACACTTCTGTGTGTCTGTGTAGTACTGTACACTATGTATAGACTTCTGTGTGTCTCTGTGTAGTACTGTACACTATACACTTATGTGTCTGTGTAGTACTGTACACTATATACACTTCTGTGTGTCTCTGTGTAGTACTGTACACTATATACACTTCTGTGTGTCGCTGTGTAGTACTGTACATTATATATACACTTCTGTGTGTCTGTGTAGTACTGTACACTATATATACACTTCTGTGTGTCTCTGTGTAGTACTGTACACTATATATACACTTCTGTGTGTCTCTGTGTAGTACTGTACACTCTATATATACTTCTGTGTCTCTAGTCTGTGTGTCTCTGTGTAGTACTGTACACTATATATACACTTGTGTCTCTGTGTAGTATTGTACATTTACACTTCTGTGTTTGTCTGTGTAGTACTGTACACTCTATATACGTGTCTGTGTAGTACTGTACACTATATATACACTTGTGTCTCTGTGTAGTATTGTACATTTACACTTCTGTGTTTGTCTGTGTAGTACTGTACACTCTATATACACTTCTGGGTGTCTCTGTGTAGTACTGTACACTATATATACTGACAGCAGTGGGTCTTAACCTTTTCTGCAGTCTTGCACCCCTTTAGTTCTCAATCGTAAAAATGTTGAATAATGTTAATAAATACCTGGGGGGTTTGATAAACAAAGGAGTTGTACTTACGTGCCCGTACTTAATTTGTGTTTCGATGATTTACCTTCTCACAAAGTCTGGCCACGTCTCACAGCCCCCAGAAAGGGCATCTCGCACCCCCAGGGGCTGCGTGCACGCCAGGGTAAGAGCCACTGTCGACAGGGACCGATCTCCGCTCATAAACCACGTGACCCCTGAGGCCTACGGGTCGCCTCCTTCTAAGGACTCCGAGGTCAAGGCTCTGTTCGTGGGGTGATCGAGTGGGTGAGTGAGTGGAGGTGAGTGGGTGGGTGAGTGAAGGTGGGTGAGTGGGTAGTAGGCCTCGGCAAGGTAAGGTAAAAGTTAAAATGTAAAAACGAGCCTACATTTACCCTACATTTTACCTTACCACAATACAATCACTCTACCCTACCTTTTACCCTTTAGCAGGTAAGGTAAAAGGTAAAAAGCAACGAGCTTACCTTTACCCTACCTTTTACCCTTACCCCATAAAAATTACCCGATTACAGGGTAATTACTAGGGAACTACTACACATGAACAAGGTTTATAACGGTAAATGCTATAAGGTAGAGCGCTTTAATCATGTAGAATACTCTCGATGATTCCAATGTTACACGCTTTCTTTTAACTCACTCTGTTGTTGTTGTCGTTGTTGTATCCTCTAATCTTGAAACTCAAGTTTTACCCACTTCCTAATGTGGTATCGACTGCAAACTTGGTATACTTAGGTCATACTGATGACAACACTATATTCTATCATAAAAATATGTTTTTAAACATTATTTTTTATATGTTATGTTTCGGCTTGGGTCTAATTGTCCACGTTCAACTGACGTTGGCTGTAAATCACCACGGTCCCTTACGTTGTGGCAAGCTTCGGGGCCACTTCCTAGAGTCGTGGAGTTCTACCATTACTCGTACATTTTATAAAAGCGTGTTTTTGATAACGTTTTTTTAAATATTGCTTATGAAATGTAGGCCACGGACTGCGCCACGGAGCTTTTAGCGGTAAACAAGGTACCATATTTACCGGGTAATACAGTACTTTGCGCTTCCTTTACCCTACCGGGTAATTCTTCCGAGCTACCTTTACCCTACCCTTTACCTTACCCCTTGGCATGTCGACATCTTTACCCTTTTACCCGGTAAAATAAGGTAAATTACCTTGCCTTGCCGAGGCCTAGTGGGTAGGTGGGGAAGTGGTTGAGTGGGTAGGTGAGTGAGTGGGTGGGTGGGTGAAACAGGATGCGTCGCCGGGTGTGGTCTGCTTGGCACCCGAGGGGTGCTGAGCTGTCACCTAACCGGCTCTCCAGGGACGCTGCGAGGATTTGTTGGCTGCAAAATCCGCAGCGGATCGCATCTCCCTGCCTGGCCTGGAGCCACTGCGCCTCACTGACCATTGAGCCGTCGCTGCTGCTGCACCGAGGAATGAGCCGACTGGGGTGTAGCGTCCAAGGCATTCGTTATCTGCTGTGAAGAACCCGCAGAGCCCATGAGAGCGTCTCCGGGTTCAAGCAGCGTTTAGAGTTCAGTATTTAGATTATTTGGCTGCTATGCAATTTACAACATGATGAGCCATTTTGTTGAGCTGTCATTTGTGATGGGAAGCTCGCTTATGAAAAATAAGCTAATATCTGAGTGGGGCATTACACCTGGTAACGTAAAAATAGTTTAGTTTTATTGTTATTTTTTTTGCAATCATGGTGAATGCCGATGGGAATCTGTGTTGCTCTGTGTGCATGCGTGTTGAGTAGCCGTGTGTGTGAATGTGAAACAACAACGCAGGTGAAGTAAGCGGTGGGTGCGGCTGTGAATGGCCAGCACGGGGATCTGCAGTCTCGGACAAGGTGAGAGTGAGAGACGGTGACATCGCCAGCAGTGGGTGATGGAGGCAGGTAGAATTGGTGATAGATTCACACTGCTAGCAAAAGGCTCAAGATTCCAGGATCTGTCACGGGAGGCTACACGCAATTTTTTTCTGATGCCACGATGACATTCAAGCAACTTGTCACGTTGGGGTAATTAGATGGAATTAAAGGACATCATGAGATATCTACAACTATACCAACTATTTATTTATTTTACCAGGTTAGGCTCGCTGAGCAATGTGGCTATTTAACAAAAACGACATGGCCACAAATGATAGCTCAATGAAGTGGCTTATCACGTGGAAACTTATTGCAGCCAACTACTCTAAACGCGTGATGTTGATTGTGAATGCAGAGAGAAAAACTGGAGAACCGGAGAGAGAGAGACGCAAACTTTAAATATAAATTAGGCGTCACTGTTGGGATCGAACCCACGACTTCAAGTATACCGTGCGAGGGAGATAACATCTTTTCACCAACGTTTTGTAGTAGGATGATTTTATCTCTCGACACTGATCGCACAAATGAGCCTCATCGATTTATATTAACAACAGCACTCATTTCTATAAATGTCAGGGTTTGTACAGTAGCTGTGTTCACATTGAGGCTGCTGTTTGCGCACCTCGGGGCGCGGATTCACATTCCAGGCGGTGTCTCGTGATGTCAGTGACGACAATGAAAATATTTTCAGCATTTTACTTCCTTCTTCACCGTCGCTATAAGAGAGAGGTCCTGGTCCAGCGTCTCTCTGAGCCACACAGCGAGCGATCCCAGCGAGGCCATGGGTCATAGCGAGCGTGACTCCCAGTGAGAGTGTGGACAGTGGGATGAGCTGCTTCATCTGCCTGGGCACGTTCGTCTGCCCCTCCACGCTGAGCTGCGGACACTCGTTCTGCCTGCGGTGCCTGGAGGCCGCCTGGGAGACGGCGAGCAGCTTCCGCTGCCCGCAGTGTCGAGCGACCTTCCCTGTGCGACCCCAGCTGAGGAGGAACGTGGCCCTCGCCAACCTGGCGGAGCAGCTCAGAGTTGCAGACGGGATGGCCGCGGCCGTCGTATGTGACAACTGCGCTGATGGCCACACTCCTGCAGTGAAGACCTGCCTGAGATGTGAGATGTCCTTCTGTGCGACGCACTTGAGGCCTCACGTGGAGAATCCCAGGCTGAGTGATCACGTCCTGGTGGCTCCCATCGCGAACCTGGAGGAGCGAAGATGCAAGGAGCACAGAGAGGAGCTGAAGTACTTCTGTGAACAGGATAAGATCCCGGTCTGCACAGGCTGCACCATCACTGGAGACCACCCCGGACACAGAGTCATCACAGTGGAAAAAGCGCAACAGACAAGACAGGTGAAGTGTAATGCTCCATTGCAATCCACATTGTTACAGGAGGTTGAGAGATTGACATCAGTTGGTCGTGACCCCTCACCTCGACCAGGTGAACTCCTGTTAAGACCAAACGTCCGTTTACAGGGAGACCCAGGTAGAGGTGGCAGGGTGGCTCAGACATCAGAACACTGAGATGGTAACGCTGTAATGCTCAGTTGGAATCTTGTCAGCCGCCCATGGTTTAAACCGGATTCTCAAGTTTAGTGAGTTGATGGTCTAAGCCCAGTCAACATTTGATAGCACGTTAAATAATATTTTACGTGAGAATTCATTCAAAATATTAGTTTGACTAAGTGAGAAACGTTGCTATGCATAGCAGGGAGTGTGAGAAGCCGCTACACCCATCGCTGGTAGAGGTTAAAAACATTTTAGAATGTACGTGATATTTGTCAATTATGTTGTCTAACAGGATATTGCATTGCTCTGCAGTAGTTACGATTTGATTCTTCATCTCAATGCATAACACGGACAGTGCAGTCGGATTACAATCGTTGGAAGAGGAAAAATATAAATAGAGACGTATGCAGAAATAGAATGACAACAGATGTGTGTATGTGTGTTGAACTTCTTTCATAGCCAACCGTGCTAATCAGAGATGCGGGATGATCAATCGGTGATCCACCAATGGTGAGCACCGCGTATTTATTGATTTATCTACCACATGCAGGAGGAGCTCAGAGTCAAGAAGGAGGGGGGAGAGGAGAAGAGGAACACGGCGGCGTCACGGGCACGGACACTCAGGGACGACTACCGATACGTGGAGGTACAAGAGAGATGCCAGCCGCGCAATTCCCTCTTCTGGTTTGCCTAAGAATTGTATTTAATTAAACCTAACTCTTATTTAACTCTTTGGTTCTTTCGGTAAAGTCATATAAGTAGAAAAAATAATAGATCACGACGTTTCGATCGCAACACAAGCAATCATCATCAGGTGGGACAACCACAGCAAGAAAAAAACTGCTGAAGTAACTCTTACTATTGACGAGCACTGCCCAACGCGTCGGCGCGGCATACAACTTTGGTGAATTGCAAGCGGTGTGGATTTCAAGCAAATCGTTTCCCAATGACAACTCGCTTGCTGCCTACTTTAAATCAACAAAATCAACGACATCAAACTGTAACGGAGCAAAGTGTGAGTTCGTAGCTGTGTTTGTCTGTCAGCACTTTTTTTTCAAGCCCATTTTTTGAGAGCATAAGCTTAATGAAACTTGAATCTTCAATTAAATGTATTGCTTAAGTGTATTTTTACACATCAAGAAAAAATGTGGGAAACATTACAACCAGTTTAGGACGACCAGATTTGCAAAACACGTTTACTCTGTGAATAGAAGGCCACCACGGTATGACACAGAAACTTCATTTATGACGCAACTTTCAACATGACAGCAGTTTTGGTTTGGGGGGGCAGAATCGATCCACGCTGGACGATGCGTTGGCGACTTGTCCTGTCGATTCCTTTATTGATCACAACCACGATGCTTGCTATGGAATGTTGCAATTCCTCCCTTCTGGCTTCCCCAAATCTGAACCACATCAACTTAGCCTGAGGGCCCGGGAGAGTGGACGTGAGTATTGCCATCGAAATCAGCATTGTTTAACTCTTTCAGCACATTTTTGTTAAAACAAGAGCAATGTGACGTTTATTTGTTCTGTATATTCGCAGAAACTTTGACACACTTTTCTGGGAATGTCCTCGGCAATAGAATTGTTTCGGTTTAATTCGCATTTTCTTCCCATGCACCGTTTGGTAGATCCAGAGTGGGATGGACAGGTAGACAAATGTGAATAATATCCATGAAGATGTTTTTCATTTTCACCAGATAGACACTCAGCAACGTGTAGCTACAGACAGACGTATTTTCTGTAATCTCCTTGTCTAGGATATTATATATCCCATTCTCATTCTCCCTGTGCTTTATATGTTCACGAGCTCCCAATGCACACGTAGCTCACCTCCGTGTACTTAATCGAGATATGGTAACAATCATTACCTGTACGACACCACATTGCGTCGTTACCTAACAAGTGACTCAACAACTCGGCGCTGTCTGTGTAGGAGTCTGTGCGTGGGACCAAGGCGCGGATCAGCCGAGAGTTTGAGCGCCGGAGGAAGCAGCTGACGGAGGAGGAGAGGGAGGCGCTGGAGCGCGTGGACGAGGAGGGCCGCTCCGTGCTGTCCCGCATCCAGGCGGACATCGCTCGCTACGAGAGCAGAGCACGCGGCCTGGAGCAGGAGATCAACCAGCTGCTCGCCGCCCTCGCCGTGCAGGACCCGCTCTCCTTCCTGCAGGTGGCACCACCTCCATTCACTCGCCATGGTGGCTAGGAGATGTTAACTACCTCGCCTGATATGCAGGTGGTCATGGGTTCGATACCAACACTGACTACTCTTAGGTTTTTCTCCGGTAAAGTCACGTAGGTAAAAAAAGAAATAATAATAATAATAAAATAAGTTAATAATAAATGCGAATAACTCAATTAAATCACGACGTTTCGGAGGCAACACAAGTCTCGTCTTCAGGTGGGACTTTACCGAAAAAACCTAAGAGTATGAATCCTTGCAGTCACGAAAGCTTCAAATCTAGAACCAACCCTGACATCTGCTGTATATTTGGAGTTTGCATCTCTCTCTCCTCGTGGATGTGTGGTCCTCCGGTTTTTCCTTCTACATTTAGAATCAACGTCAGGTGTTTGGGGTAATTTGCTGCTATGAATTTCCACACGATAAGCCACTTCTTTAATTTTAATTTCTGGCAAGGTTACTTCTGAAGCATAGCTATATAGCTCAGTGGGCCTTACCTAGTAAGGCATAAAAAAGTAGTTTTAAAACGTTTATATTCACACCCTTGGTTTATCAGAGGGTTTATCAACAACCAGCAGAGCCGCACCGCTCTGTGAGATGTTGGCATTGTCGGCAATCTTATTTCAGTGTTTTTCGATCTGGGAGCAAGCGTCAGTGGCCATAAATAGATGCTCGTTTGCTTCGGTGTGACATTCAGACCTGGACTTGTCCAGTACAACATCGCCATTTACCTCGCCTGCTATGCATGAGGTCGTGGGTTTGACCTCAACCCTGATGTCTGCTGTAAATTTGGAGTCAGTGTGTCTCTCTCTGTTATCGTGTATATTTTTTTCCAGGTCCTCTGGTTTTTCACTCCACATTTCGAATCAACATCACTGATTCAGAGTATTTGACTGCTATTATAAATGTCCACATAAGCCAGTTCGTTGAGCTATCATTTGTGAAAACCAGCTCGCTAATGAACAAGAGTTAAAAACACGAGTTGTTGAACATTACTTAACTATTTGTTTAGCTGCTAGACTAGACCTGCAAAGAGTGGCCTTGTTATTTGTGGGGTCCGTGTCCAGTTAAACGAATAAGAAGAGGTATTCTTTGCTTGAATTAAAGCTTTCGTGACTGCAGGAATTTATATCCTATGGTTCTTTTGTTAAAGTCACGTAAATAGAAAATAAAATAAAAATATAATGAAAATATAAATATGAAAAATATGAAAAATATATAAAGCAAAAAACTCACGAAGTTTCGATTGAAACACAAGCATATGAATCCATGCAGTCACGAAAGCTTTGAGTCAAAAATTTATAAGAATAGGCATAACAGTACAAAGGCACAAAGATAACTCTGTTTTTCATCATTCTCTGTTTGCAGATATTTGTTACTTTCTTGATGTTGTGCTCCACTATAAGCGGCAGGTGACTGTGTGGAGGTGGGCATCTGTTTATGATGGCAATGTTAATGTGAAATGCGGGTTTGTGTTTTCCAGGATCCCCTGCATGAGAGTCTCAGGTCAGTACCAACCCAGACTCAGACTCGAGCTCCATCTGCCACCTGGTGGACAAATCAGCGAACGGTCGAGACGTGATTTCTAATAAACCCAATTGTATGCAGTTGTATCCCGTATTGTTCGTATGTCAAGAGACATGGACCTGCATTAGACTCTGCGTGTCCCGTGCTGAGTGAGTGGAGGGACTGCACCTCCATAGACTCTGCGTGTCCCGGGCTGTGTGAGTGGAGGGACTGCACCTCCATAGACTCTGCGTGTCCCGTGCTGTGTGAGTGAAGGGACTGCACCCTCCATAGACTCTGCGTGTCCCGTGCTGTGTGAGTGGAGGGAATGCACCCTCCATAGACTCTGCGTGTCCCGTGCTGAGTGCAGGAGCTCGGACTCGCAGGGGACCCAGGATGCGCCTCCTCCCACATTCAGTCCCCAAGAGCTCACAGAGGTCATCTCGCTAGGAGGAGTGAATACGATGCGCGTGGCTCTCGTGTGTGAGTCTCTCTCTGCACTGACCTCTGTCAACATCGTTCATGACAAACACCAAGATTCAGACCGGCACCGCTCGGTAGGCTGTTGAATCTTAAAAAAAATTTTTAGCAGGTAAGATCCACTGAGCTATGTGGCTCTTTTTCACAAGGAAACTGGCCGCAAATGACAACTCAACTAAGTGGATTATCAAATGGAAATTTATAGTAGCAACCAAATGATCTTAACGCATTCAGTTGAGTCTAAATGTATAGCAAATAATTGGAGGATGCTGAGAAAATTCCACGCGACCACCACTGGGAGATAGACACAAACACTCCAAATATACAGCAGCAACAGCAGGCACCGTCAAGGTCGGGATCGAACCCATGAACCTCCTGTATACCTGGCGAGGTTATTAACATTTCCCTGACCACTGTGATGATGAGAGACACAGACTCCAAATATACAGCAGCGGCAGTCATGGTCAGGGTCGGGATCAAACCTACAAGCTCCTGCATACCAGGTGAGGGAGATGACATCAGGCAGATCGAGAGTCAGCCCAGTGAGAAAGAGGCACCACGCCCGGCCACCTTTGTCTCGCTCGTGTCAAATGTTTACACATCACACAAGCAGAGGGCAGTGCAGCGTGAACCATTGTTGTACTGCACCTCTACGCTTCCACCTTCACGAGCCCCACCATCGCCAACGAGCACTGACGAGAGCGGTGAAGTATGGTCAAATAACCCCCCCCCCTGGATGCGCACGGCGAGGGGAGGCGCTCACAGACAATGTCTGTCTGTGGATGTGAGAGTGTGCGAGGCTGTGACACACAATGTCTGTGTGTGGATGTGAGAGTGTGCGAGACTGTGACACACAATGTCTGTGTGTGTGGATGTGAGAGTGTGCTAGGCTGTGACACACAATGTGTCTGTGTGTGGATGTGAGAGTGTGCTAGGCTGTGACACACAATGTGTGTGTGTGTGGATGTGAGAGTGTGCGAGGCTGTGACACACAATGTGTGTGTGTGTGGATGTGAGAGTGTGCTAGGCTGTGACACACAATGTGTGTGTGTGTGGATGTGAGAGTGTGCGAGGCTGTGACACACAATGTGTGTGTGTGTGGATGTGAGAGTGTGCGAGGCTGTGACACACAATGTGTGTGTGTGTGGATGTGAGAGTGTGCTAGGCTGTGACACACAATGTGTGTGTGTGTGGATGTGAGAGTGTGCGAGGCTGTGACACACAATGTGTGTGTGTGTGGATGTGAGAGTGTGCGAGGCTGTGACACACAATGTGTGTGTGTGTGGATGTGAGAGTGTGCTAGGCTGTGACACACAATGTCTGTGTGTGGGTGTGGGAATGTGCGAGGCTGTGTCACACAATGTCTGTGTGTGGATGTGAGAGTGTGCGAGGCTGTGACACACAATGTCTGTGTGTGGATGTGAGAGTGTGCGAGGCTGTAACACACAATGTGTGTGTGTGGATGTGAGAGTGTGTGAGGCTGTGACACACAATGTCTGTGTGTGGGTGTGAGAGTGTGCGAGGCTGTGACACACAATGTCTGTGTGTGGATGTGAGAGTGTGCGAGGCTGTGTCACACAATGTGTGTGTGTGTGAATGTGAGAGTGTGCGAGGCTGTGACACACAATGTCTGTGTGTGAATGTGAGAGTGTGCGAGGCTGTGACACACAATGTCTGTGTGTGGATGTGAGACTGTGCGAGGCTGTGACACACAATGTGTGTGTGTGGGTGTGAGAGTGTGCGAGGCTGTAACACACAATGTGTGTGTGTGGATGTGAGAGTGTGTGAGGCTGTGACACACAATGTCTGTGTGTGGGTGTGAGAGTGTGCGAGGCTGTGACACACAATGTCTGTGTGTGGGTGTGGGAGTGGCGTCAACATCGTGGTGCTGGCATCATCACCGCTGTTCACTGCCACTGTTCACACACACATGGTCATGTTAGTGTAGCACTATTATTATTAATATTATTTATTATTCACTATTTATTTTTATTATTCACTTATTATTATTATTCACGAGTGATTAACAGTATGTGTATGCAGATACTAGCTAATATTAGTTTATGTACACTAATACTAACGAATATTAGTATGTGTACACTAATACTAACGAATATTAGTGTGTGTACACTAATACTAACTAAAATTTGTGTGTGTACACTAATACTAACTAATATTAGTGTGTGTACACTAATATTAACTAATATTAGTATGTGTACAGTAATAATAACTAATATTAGTATGTGTACACTAATACTAACGAATATTAGTGTGTGTACACTAATACTAACTAAAATTTGTGTGTGTACACTAATACTAACTAATATTAGTATGTGTACACTAACACTAACTAATATTAGTATGTGTACACTAATACTAAATAATATTAGTATGTGTACACTAACACTAACTAATATTAGTATATGTACACTAATACTAACTAATATTAGTATGTGTACACTATTACTAACTAATATTAGTATGTGTACACTAACACTAACTAATATTAGTATGTGTACACTAATACTAACTAATATTAGTGTGTGTACACTATTACTAACTAATATTAGTATGTGTACACTAATACTAACTAATATTAGTGTGTATACACTAATACTAACTAATATTAGTGTGTGTAAACTAATACTAACTAATATTAGTATATGTACACTAATACCAACGAATATTAGTTTGTGTACACTTATACTAACGAATTTTAGTGTGCGTATACTAATACTAACGAATATTAGTTTGTGTACACTATTACTATTGAATATTAATTTGTGTACAGTAATACAAACGAATATTAGTATGTGTACACTATTGCTAACGAATATTAGTAAGTGTACACTAATGCTAACGAATATTAGATTGTGTACACTAATACTAACGAATATTATTATGTGTACACTAATACTAACTAATATTAGTATGTGTACACTAATACTAACGAATATTCGTATATGTACACTAATACTAACTAATATTAGTATGTGTACACTAATACTAACGAATATTAGTGTGTGTACACTAATACTAACGAATATTAGTGTGTGTACACTAATACTAACGAATATTAGTATGTGTACACTAATACTAACGAATATTAGTATGTGTACACTAATACTAACGAATATTAGTGTGTGTACACTAATACTAACGAATATTAGTATGTGTACACTAATACTAACGAATATTAATTTGTGTACACTAATAATAACGAATATTAGTGTGTACACTATTACTAACGAATATTAGTGTGTGTACACTAATACTAACGAATATTAGTGTGTGTACACTAATACTAACGAATATTAGTGTGCGTACACTAATACTAACTAATATTAGTTTGTGTACACTAATACTAATATTAGTGTGTGTACACTAATACTAACGAATATTAATTTGTGTACACTAATACTAACGAATATTAGTATGTGTACACTAATACTAACGAATATTAGTGTGTGTACACTAATACTAACTAATATTAGTTTGTGTACACTAATACTAACGAATATTAGTATGTGTACACTAATACTAACGAATATTAGTATGTGTACACTAATACTAACGAATATTAGTATGTGTACACTAATACTAACGAATATTAGTATGTGTACACTAATACTAACGAATATTAGTATGTGTACACTAATACTAACGAATATTAGTATGTATACACTAAAACTAACGAATATTAGTATGTGTACACTAATACTAACGAATATTAGTATGTGTACACTAATACTAACGAATATTAGTAAGTGTACACTAATACTAACGAATATTAGTTTGTGTACACTAATACTAACGAATATTTATTTGTGTACACTAATACTAACGAATATTAGTTTGTGTACACTAATACTAACGAATATTAGTGTGTGTACACTAATTCTAACGAATATTAATTTTTTTCACACTAACACTAACTAATATTAGTATGTGTACACTAATTCCAACGAATATTAGTATGTGTACACTAATACTAACGAATATTAGTTTGAATACCCTAATACTAACGAATATTAGTGTGTGTACACTAATACTAACTAATATTAGTGTGTGTACACTAATACTAACTAATATTAGTATGTGTACACTAATACTAACTAATATTAGTGTGTGTACACTAATACTAACTAATATTAGTATGTGTGCACTAATACTAACTAATATTAGTGTGTGTACACTAATACTAACTAATATTAGTGTGTGTACACCAATACTAACTAATATTAGTGTGTGTACATTAATACTAACTAATATTAGTATGTGTACACTAATTCTAACTAATATTAGTATATGTACACTAAAACTAACGAATATTAGTATATGTACACTAATACTAACTAATATTAGTGTGTGTACATTAATACTAACTAATATTAGTATGTGTACACTAATACTAACTAATATTAGTGTGTGTACACTAATACTAACTAATATTAGTGTGTGTACACTAATACTAACTAATATTAGTGTGTGTACACTAATACTAACTAATATTAGTGTGTGTACACTAATACTAACTAATATTAGTGTGTGTACACTAATACTAACTAATATTAGTGTGTGTACACTAATACTAACTAATATTAGTGTGTGTACATTAATACTAACTAATATTAGTATGTGTACACTAATTCTAACTAATATTAGTATATGTACACTAAAACTAACGAATATTAGTATATGTACACTAATACTAACTAATATTAGTGTGTACACTAATACTAACTAATATTAGTGTGTGTACACTAATACTAACGAATATTAATTTGTGTACACTAAGACTAACTAATAATAGTGTGTGTACACTAATACTAACTAATATTAGTTTGTGTACACTAATACTAACGAATATTAATTTGTGTACACTAATACTAACGAATATTAGTGTGTGTACACTAATACTAACTAATATTAGTTTGTGTGCACTAATACTAACGAATATTAGTGTGTGTACACTAATACTAACGAATATTAGTGTGTGTACACTAACACTAACTAATATTAGTATGTGTACACTAACACTAACTAATATTAGTATGTGTACACTAATACTAACGAATATTAGTTTGTGTACACTAATACTAACGAATATTAGTTTGTGTACACTAATACTCACCACAGATGGACGCTCACCGACTCTGGACACAAACTCAGCCCACCACTGCCTCCAGATTTCCTCGGATCTCAGGACGGCGACGTTGAGCGATGTCCCCCAGGGTCGCCCCCATCACCCACACCACTTTGAGTGCCGGCTACAAGCCCTGTGCTCTGAGAGCTTCTCGTCGGGTCAGCACTACTGGGAGGTGGACGTGGGGAGCGTGAGGTGGGGGTATCGGGTTGGAGTCGCGTACGGGACGATCCCACGGAGAGGGGATGGTGATGAGTGCCTCTTGGGAGGGAGCGACGTCTCCTGGTGTCTACGGAAAGCTGACGACAGCTTCTCAGTGCTGCATGGCGGGGTAGTGACGTCACTGTCGGTGCCGCAGCCTCCGCGGAGAGTCGGGGTCCACCTGGACTGGGACGCGGGGCTGCTGTCGTTTTACAGCGCCGACTCCATGGCGCTGTTGCACTCGTTTAATAAAACTTTCACTCAGCCCCTACACCCTGGGTTGCTGGTGTGGGGTGGTGTTGGTGACTCAGTGACGATTGTGGATCTGAGTGGCGCGTCCTGAGAGAGGTGAACGTGAACAGCGCAGAGGGCAGACGCCACCACGACGCACGGCGCTCGCCACCCTCGTCACCGCCACGCGCGGCGCCACGCCCGTGATTGGCTGGTGGCTGTCGGTGGCTAGGGGCTGCGTGGCTCTCCATCACAACGGGGGGAGCTGAGCGTAAACAATCCTCACAACCTTCATGGGGGGGGGGGTGATAAAATAAGTACTGCTCTGTGTGTGTGTGTGAAGCCAACGTGCATGTATTCACCCTGCCAGAGGAGTGTGACTGTAGTGTAGGGTGCAGTGATTAGCAATGGTGAACTGGGATGTGTTTATACACTGGTGGTGTCATGGGTTGTGGGAGAGACGCAAGAACAACAATAATAATATTAATAATAAAAAGTATAAATGTACGCGTACGACAGTGGCAATGTAACGCTTGTATCGTCGATTCTACAATAAAAATACAGAACACAACAACAACAATGTAGTTGTGTACAGCGTCATTCGTGCTCACTGCATCCCGCAACGCTGTTCATTAATTAAACACGAGCACCAAATCCTCTACACAGCCACTGCCAAGCAAATTAAATCTACAAATTAATAAACAAATAAAGAGACGGCGCCAAACACAAAAGGCGCCAACAATGTCCGAGCTTCTTGGTTCTTTCGGTAAAGTCACGTAGAAGGGAAATAATAATATAATAAAAATAAAACACAATAATATAATAATAATAAATAATATAATAAAACAAAATAATAAACTATATCGCAATGTCCGAGCTGTTCGAGTTATCTGCTGCTGCTGCGTAATGGACGTGATGACGTCACCACGCACGCTCCTCCAACGTGGTGACGTCACCACGCACACTCTCACAAACCGGTGACGTCATAACGCACGCTGCCCCAACGCGTGACGTCACCACGTCACCCCTCCCTTCACTCCGCCCCACGCGCCACCGATAGCCACGGCCTCCCCTCGCGACTGCACCATCTTTGAAGAAAAAGAGCTTCACAGAGGCTGTACATACACAGAGAGACTTATATGCAAACAGATTACACACAAATTCCGCCGTATAGCCTCAGTAGATGGTGTGGACAAGTCCCGCTAGCGAGTGGCAGCAGTGCCTAGGGAGGCCGTGACGGCTCACGAGTTGGTGGCTGTCAGCACCACAGCCGCCTGGCTTCGCCTCTGCCCAGCAGCGATGTTCACTGCACAGCGCACCAGGCAGGATGCATTTGGTGCCGAGTCGACCTAGGTGAGGCCCAGGGCCGCTTCAGGTCATTGCCAACACTTCTGCTGCTGCTGGTGGTGGTGGTCGTGTATAGACAGGACACAGAGGACTTTATACAGAGACACACAGAAGTGAATACAGTGTACAGTACTACACAGATACACAAGTGTATATAGAGCGTGCAGTACTACACAGAGACACACAGAAGTGTATGTAGTGTACAGTACTGCACAGACAGAAGTATATATATAGTGTACAGTACTCTACAGATACACACAAGTGTATATAGAGTGTACAGTACTACACAGAGACACACAGAAGTGTATATATAGTGTACAGTACTACACAGAGACACAGAAGTCTATATATAGTGTACAGTACTACACAGCGACACACAAGTGTATATAGTGTACAGTACTACACAGAGACACACAGAAGTGTATATATAGTGTACAATACTACACAGACACACAGAAGTGTATATATAGTGTACAGTACTACAGACACACAGAAGTGTGTATATAGTGTACAGTACTACACAGACACACAGAAGTGTATATATAGTGTACAGTACTACAGACACACAGAAGTGTATGTATAGTGTACAATACTACACAGACACACAGAAGTGTATATATAGTGTACAGTACTACAGACACACAGAAGTGTATGTATAGTGTACAGTACTACACAGAGACACAGAAGTGTATATATATAGTGTACAGTACTACACAGAGACACACAGAAGTGTATGTATAGTGTACAGTACTACACAGAGACACAGAATCGTGCACAGTGGTATACAGACAGGACACACAGAGGGCTTCACACAATTGGTGAGTAAGAGAGACGCAGGCCCCCGTGTGTGCTGTGTGTAGCGATCAGCTCGCTGTGCCACCCGGGTTCGATCCCTGCTCACGGCCAACACCGCTGACGATTATCTGAACCGAGCCTCCCCTAGGTTGACTCAGCCTCAAATGATTCCCTGGCGCGGCGTGTAAACATCGCCAGCACCGGGGAGACAAAGTCGGTCGGGCGTGGTGCTGTTCACACACAGCCCTCCCGTGGATACCTCTCCGGCCTTAATAGGCGCTCGCTAACAGCACTTGCCCCCGCCGCCTGTGGAGGCTACGCGGGGGATCTTTGTCTGTGCGCTGCCGTTTAGTGGCCACTGTCACATCCACACGCGCGCCACTCGCTCGTTGGTTACTTGTACAAAGGTAACGAATACATCAACATTTAGTATTCAGTTGTATGTTTAGCCCCGCCCACGTTCCATTCATTGGCTACCACATTAAGATAAGCACCTCCCCCTTAGCTTGTATTTAAGAGCTGGTTTCTTGCAATTTTGTCACAGGGGGGGCACGGGGGGCATGGGGGGCACGGGGGGACAACGCTCCCCCCTAAAAAAACTGGACACCTTTATTAATTTATTTTTATGATTTACAAATAAAAATAAATTAAATGAGGGACAAATATAGAAGTCAAACTCCGCCAATGATTTAAAGTCTTCAAAGTTGCCTCATTCGCCGCTTCATTAATTTTTGGCGCCAAAAGTGTAAATACAAAATGGCGTCGGAGACTCCATTTTGTTTCATTTCTTTATTTACAATTAACGAGCGTTGACAACATCATTATAGAAATTCTGAGGTAAATTAATGCGCATATAGCGATCGGAATGCGGATACAACGTTCTGAATGGTTCGAAAATTTAAATAGAGGCAGTTATTTGTGTAGATTGTTGAATTTAATGGTTTTTTTTAAGTGTTAATGGTTAAAACGTACAAAATGGCTGTCTTCAGGTTGAGCGTTTGTTGCGAGCCGAGTTGGTTCTGCGTCTTGGTCGAGATGACTGCAGTGGCTGATTCAAAAAGGAGAAGCGTTTTTGTTTCATTAGTTCACCATTAGTACGGTATTATTTGCCTAATGAATATGATGAGATATGAAGATGTGTTTATTATTACACCTAAATATTGTTTAATTTCCGTATTATAGCAGTTTTGAATAGCAAATGTCGGCTAACATATATTTCAGGAGTGTTGGATTGTGGCATGTGGGATGATGTGAACTAAAAACATTTTTTCATTTAACTAGGCAAGGCTCACTGAGAGAAGTCGCTCTTTTTAAATCCTTTATATTAAGTTCACTTGCTTGCGCGCTTACGACCGTGCAAATCTTTCGGTCGTTTTTTAACCCACTTCCCGTGATCCAATCGAGCTGACATTTTCCACACCGACTCGTTGTGCGTGACAATTAATTTTCGTGAATTTTTTTTTCCAAAATTTTCAACATTTTAGGATTTTTGTTTTATATTTAATTACCAATTGCTTAATGGTGCCATGCAATCATCTGACCCATAGGTGGCAGCCATCTTAAGCCAGAGGACGAGAGGACTCTAGCCGCCACGCATATAAAGGATTTATAGTGAAAAACGTTGTTTTTACGGGTTATACTTGTTCACATGTGACGTGGTTATCACAAATGACAGCTCAACGGAGTGGCTTGTTATAGCGGCAGCCAAATCCTCTGAATGCAAATTGATTCTAAATGTGGAGGAGAAAAACGGAGGACCCAGAGAGAAATCTACGCGACAACGGGGAGAGAGACGTGATGACTCAACATATACAGCGGGCGTTAGGATCAGGATCGAACCCACGACCTCCTGTATACCAGGCGAGGTAGTGAACATCTTGCCACCAATGCAGTGACGCTTGGCCACTGTTGCAGAGATACGAGGGTTACCCAGAAGTAATTTGTTTGCTTTTGTCTAGAGTGCACAACGTGATGACTCAACATATACAGCGGGCGTTAGGATCAGGATCGAACCCACGACCTCCTGTATACCAGGCGAGGTAGTGAACATCTTGCCACCAATGCAGTGACGCTTGGCCACTGTTGCAGAGATACGAGGGTTACCCAGAAGTAATTTGTTTGCTTTTGTCTAGAGTGCACAACTAAATTATAACTTCTATTTAAACTATTTTCACTGGAGATGTTCAGGAGATAAAACGCTCCACTTTGCTGAGCCTTGTGCCAGTGTTTGCTGAATCATTCCACTTCGAGTTGGCCTCCAAAGATCGCAGGTACATTAAGCTTTAAGCTGGCTGTCAGTCCTCAACGTGAAAAAACCTCCTGTATAACTTGCAGATGTATTATTATTTGATGATACTACGTTGACAGTTGTGCACAAGATAACACACTCTAAAAATATTGCTCAAAAACGGCTAGATAATAGAAAACGCACAACTGCCGACGTTTCAGGCAATTGCTTGAGAGCATATTGCAAATGAATATAAGAAAAATAGCAATTGCTATCAACGTCGCGTTTTATGTGTATGAATGCATTTTCTTTAATGGTGGTGTTATTTATGAATGTGTTGAGTTGTTTTGAAAAACTATTAAGATTATAACAATTCTTAAAGCGGAGCGCTTCGTCAGTATAACACACGCACAGCCTTAAGAGGCTTCACCACCATCTTGATCAGCATCATTCGGTGGAGCCCACCTGAGTGTAAGCCTTTTGATGGAGTTGGGGGCTTGGTGGATAAAAAATATTTGTGAAACTCAAAAATAGCTGAGGCTGTAAATTAGCCAGATATTTTGATTTAAGCTTTCGTAACTGCAGGGATTCATCTTCTTGGTTCTTTCGGTAAAGTCACGTAGAAGGGAAATAATAAAATAATAAAAATACTACTTAATAAAATTTGTATTAATAAAGTAACAAAACATCTACCATATTTAAATACTATTTTTTATGCTTTATTATTTTATTATTTAATTATTTCCCTTCTACGTGACTTTACCGAAAGAACCAAGAAGATGCACCGGGATTGTCCACCCGACGCTGGGGGGACGATTTTTGCGTACCTACGAAATGGAATGCCCCTTATTCAGCGCGCCCCGCGAATCCCTGCGGTGGAGTGGCAGCGCCCTCGCGTGGCGCGCACCAACACCGCTCCAGGCAGCGCAGGGACCCAAACGGCGTCTGGGAATCGGTCGCGATTCGTGACTCGGTCCGCAACTCTGGACCAGTGCCGGCAGTGAAACAATGAACCCCACGTGACCCCCAACATCCCCATCTCCCCCACCCCCTAGGGGTCCCTTTTATCACGTGACAACCCCCAAGCCCCCCCCCCTCACCCAGACACCCCCCCCGCCACCTCACGCACCCTTCCCTAGCACCCCGCACCCCCTACCCCTCCCACTACCCTGTGGTGGTTTGGGGCAGGGGGCTGAGTGGTGTTGGTGGTTGTGGTGTTGGTGGTAGTGGTGTTGTTGGTGGTGGTAGTGGTGTTGGTGGTGGTAGTGGTGTTGTTGGTAGTGTTAGTCGTGGCGGTGGTAGTGGTGGTGTTAGTGGTGGTGCAAGCTTTTATTTCGCTGGAGACATCCAACATCAACCCAAATGGATGATGAATGAATGCATTTCATTATC